GAAAATTGAAAAAAATAAAACAAATCTTTCTTTTTGGAAAATTAAAATAAATCGTGAAAAATAAACTTTTTTTCACCAAAATTTAAAAAAAAATTCGTAATTTTTTTAACCAAGATTAAAATAATTTTTTAACGATTTTTTTATGAAAATTAATAAAATGATATCGTGTAAATAAATTTTTCATTAAGAACATTTATCAAAATTAGTTCAAACGAATTTTTTTGATACAAAAATTTAAAAAATGTGTAAACCACTTATTTTTTTTAATGAAATGAAAAAAATCGTTTAAGCAAATTTTTCTTTTCAAAAATGAAAATAATCGTGTAAATAAATTATTTTCACGAAAAGAACAAAAAATTATATAAATAATTTTTTTTCCATAAATTTAAATCAAAATGGTGTAAACAATTTTTTCTTATCAAAAATTTAAACAAGAAAAAAAAATCGTCTAATCGAATTTTTTTTCACAAAAATTAAAAAAAAAATGTAAACTTATTTCGAAATTATTAGAAAAGTATTCGAATGAAATTCGAGAAAACTTATTTTAATTTTAATTTAATTTATAAATTTAATAATTCAATTTTGTACCTAATTGAATTTAAATTTAATTTTAATATAATTTAATATGCAATGTACTTCCTGATAAATTTTCTACAAAGAAAAATTAGACTCTTTATAAGAAAAAATTTGTCTCTCCAGATTTTAGACAGTCTGCTTTTTCTCTGGCCCTCGTTTTAATATGAATAATATATTTCGTAAAAACATTTTTTTTTCTTGTGTATAATATACGTATGTTTCTAACAATTAATGCCACTCAGCTCTAATCAATTCTCGCCGTGCTCCAGGGCTCAACAATATTACTTTGAGTGTGACCCGTTTTGTATTTTTCGTTTTTTTTTTATTCATTTTTTTTTTGTCCTCCTCGCGACTTATAATTTATTTTTTTAAATATAAGCCTCTTTACGCCATCATTCCAAATACGTTAATAACGCGTCGTCCTTTCTAGACTACTTATCATTCTACACATTCATTGCTCAGTTTTTTTTGTGGGTATCTTAATTACAAGTTTTTAAAATTTTTTTTTTCGTTAATATAAAACACGTATATAAACATAGACTGAGTACATCGGTGTTTACAATATTATGACTACCCTTTAAAAAAAATCGCACGTGACATACGTTTTCATCGTATACGTGTGTGCGAATTTGTTCATGCTTTTTATTTTTATTTATTTATTTTATTTTTTTTTCTTTTATGTGTATACGGAAAGAAGAATGCCAAAATTTTTCTTTTTCGTTTCTTCGCTTTTTCTGTTTTTTTATTCGAAAAATCGATTTCTGACGAATTTTTTTTACGTAAATTTAGAAAATATTTATAAACGAGTGTATAAAGTTATAAAATGTTTGTTAATGATTTGCAAAATCGAACCAAATTTTTTTTTTATTGAAAAGTCTTTTTAAAAAAAGTCTAAAAAAAAGTCTAAAAAAGTCTAACAAAAGTCTTAAAAAAATTCCTAAAAAAGTCCTAAAAAACTTCTTCTATAAAGGTCTTTATAAAAAAGTATTTTTTACTCTAGAAATTTTTTTTTATAAAAATGATCAAATTTTTCTAAAAATTATAGAAAAAAATTTTTTTTAACTCTTTTATTCGCTAAATCTCCAAATTTCTCGCTCCTGATTGATTGTCATTGCGAATTGATCTATAAATGTTATTCTATATTTCTATTGAAATGAGATTATTTTTTTTAACTTGAAAAATAATAATTGAGAAATTATTATTATTACCAACAATTGAAAATTAATAATTAAGAAATAGTTTGAAAAAGTAAAAAAAAAACGATAGTTTCTTTTCTAAATAGTGAAAATCGTTTAAACATTGGAAATAATTTGAAAATATAATTTTATTCAGAATTTATATTTATTTTCTTTTTTAACAATTTTATTCAATTAATTTTTCCATTATTCATTTTTTGAAAATTAATTTAATACACGAAAATTAAAAAAAGTCGTGTTAACAAATTTTTTTTTGGTAAATTAAAACAAAATTGGGTAAGCAATTTTTTTTTTACAAAAATGAAGAAAAATCTAGCAAATTATTTTTGTAAAATTAAAAAAATTCGGCAAACGAATTTTTTTGGATGAAAATTAACAAAAATTGTGTAAATAAAGTTTCTAAGACGAAAATTGAAAATAAATTAAGTAAAAAAAATTTTTCTTTCTGAAAATTAATTAATTTAAAATAACCGTTTAACTGATAAAGTAATTAAATAAATAAAAATTTTTTCTTTCTTAATTCAAAGTTATTATTTATTGACTTTTGTTGCACGATTATTTTTTTAAATCAATTTTATGAAATTTATTTTCAAGAAATGAACAAAATTGGAAAAATTAATTCAATAAAATTATAAACAATAGTTAAAAGTTTAAATAATTAAAAATCACTTTAAAAATTTAAGTCAATTTAAAAATTCAATTGAAATTAATTTGAAACTTAATTTTAATCCAATAAACTAAAACTAATTTGAATCGTAAATTAATTCAGAGAAGTAAAATTAGTTCGAAACTTAATTTAAAATTCAAAAAACTAAAATTAATTCAAAAAGAACTTTTAAACAATTGAAAAAACAAAATTGAAACTCTAACAAAAAATTGTCGAAAATTTGTATTTTTGACAAAAAAATTTCTATTTTCATTAAAATTAAATTAATTCACGTATTGCAATGAAACGAATATATTAATTATTATTTTTGTTAAGAAATAATATTAATTGATTAAATTGCCCGAGGCGAAAGATTGCTTCAATTTTCATCAGATATCGATTTTCTAAACTGGTTCAACAGTCAATATAATTTCTCAGCATCCTCCCTTATGTCTTCGTTTCCCATTGTGCGTGGAGAGACATGAGACCCGTGTCAGAAAAAACATTTCGAAAAAATTCAAAAATAAATTTTTTTTCAATAAAAAAAATCAAAAATAAATTTTTTTTTCAACAAAAAAAATCTAATAACAGTTTTTATTAATAATAATAGTGTCTTGGCTCAATTCAATACACTATTTTTTATTTTTAAATCTTATAAAAGAGAAGAAAAAAACTTCCCCCCTCCCAAGAAATAGAAAAATTCATGGAATATGTAAATATTTATGAAATATTTGAAATTTGTAAACATTTAAAATTTTAAACAATAATATATTAAATATTAAATATAATAATTAATATTAATATTAATATTAACTATTTTTTTAAGCATTTTTTTGAAAAAAAGCTATTTTTAGGCTGAAAATTAAAAAAATTCCATTATTAAACTTTTTTTTATTTGAAAATCCATTTGTTTATTTTCGTTTTTCTAAAAAATTATTATCTCAAATTAGTTAGAAAAAGAAACAAATGAATTTTCAACAAAAAAAATTAAATTATGTATTTTTTCAATTTTTCGCCTAAAAAAATTTTTTTTTCAAAGAAATGCTTCAAAATTTTGAAACAATATTAATATTTGAATTTTTATATTTTTTATAAAAATTAGTCGATTTTGAAAACCTTGCGTAATTTTGAAGAAAAATTTTTTTGTACCCGCAAAAGAATTGCTGAACGAAAAAATTAATTTTTACTATTTTTGAAGCATTTTTTTTTTTTGAAAAAAAGTGTTTTTAAGCTGAAAATTCAAAAAATGCCATTATTTAATTTTTTTTTATTAGAAAATTTATTTTCTTATTTTCGTTTTTCTAAAAAATTATGATCTCAAATTAATTAGAAAAAGAAACAAATGAATTTTCAATTAAAAAAAAATTAAATTATGTAGTTTTTTCAATTTGCCTTGAAAATTGAAAAAATTCCATTATTCAATTTTTTTTTATTTGAAAATCCATTTGTTTCTGATATTGAAATTCCATTTCGTTTTTCTAAAAAATTATTTTCTCAAATTAGTTAGAAAAAGAAACAAATGAATTTTCAAAAATAAAAATTAAATTATTAATTTTTTCAAATTTCTGCCTAAAAAAATTCTTTTTTCAAAAAAATGCTTCAAAAATAGTCAAAATTAATTTTTTTCGTGGATACAAAAAATATTTTTTACAAAATACGCACAAATTTCAAAATTTACCAATTTAAAAAAAAATCAAAAAGGGGTTTTTCAGTATTTTTTGACCGATTTTTTACCACTGAATTCCTCTCAAAAAATTACAAAAAAAATAATTTAAATATTTCATTAAATTATTTTTATTATAATTTTTTGAGAGAAATTTAATGGTCAAAAAAATAAAATCGGTCGGAAAATATAGAAAAAAAACCCTTTTTGAATTTTTATTTTTCCTGAAAAATTGGTAAATTTTGAAATTTATTTTTGTAGAAACTATATTTATTATTTTGTAACATGTTTTGGCCATTGAATTTCTCTCAAAAAATTATTATAATAAAAATTGTATGTAATATTTCAATTATTTGAAGGAATTCAAATATTTGAAATAATTGAAATATTCGAAACAAAATTGAAATACTTGAAATAATCGAAATATTCGAAACAATTTAAATACTTTAAATACTTTAAATAATTGAAATAATTAAAATAATTGACAAAATTGAAATAATTGACAAAATTTCTTTACGTAACTATTCGAAATATTCGAATGCCAGAAATGTTTAAAAATTTCAAATCCAAAAAAGAAATGTTTTCCGATAAATAATTAATCCAAAAAAAAAGATTTCCAAACATTTCGTTTTTTCCGACAAGGGGACAAAAGTGTTTTATTTTTTATTTTTGCTTGTGTAAAAAGTGCTTTCATCAAATTTGCAATCGAAAATTGCAAAAAAAACACTCTTAAAAATTTTCGCCTTTCGCGATTGGTATATAATATTTATATTATTTTTTTTAAATCAGGGAATACGCTAAATATTTATTTGCAAAAAACAAGAATAGAATCTATTTTTTCCCTTTTTTGAAAAAGAGAAACAGATTCTTTTTTTTTCGTTTTTTGATAAATTGGGAAAAAATTAAATCTCCTTTTTTACAAATAAATATTTATCGCCAAATTCCACCTGGAAATTCGAGCGTCATTTGACATTTTTTTTTCTTCTTTTATTAGAATATATATATGTATATTATATTAGTAATAAAAATGCGATTTACGAGATCGTTACAATGATACAATATATTACAATAAACAATGTTTACAATATTTGTTTCCGGGTGGAATTCAGCGTTTTTTTTTCTTTTCATTTTTTTTTTTTTTTGTTCGAGAGTTTTCACCAATCGCTAATCTATCGAAACAAGCACGTTGCTTGATCTATTAATTATATTTCTTTGGTTTCGCTTTTTTCTCGTTTTTTAAACTGGAAATCTCTACTTTTTTTTTTATTCGTCAATATCTTTTTTTAAAGCTTTGTTTGGCACGTATAATTAGAATGTCATTCAGTACGGAAGCATTCGATTCTCTGCGTCGTTTTTTTTATTATTTTTAAAAAATCCTTTTCCATTGTCTTTCCAACGCTATTTTTTTTTCTTTCTTTTACACTATTTACCTAACATTCATTATTCATTTTACGATTTTCTGTTATCACTTGATGACTACTTCTTAAAATTAGAAAAAAAGTCTTTTCGAAACGCGATTCGAAGCTTCTTTGTTTTTTTGTTTAACAATTTTTTTAGGAATTTTTCCGAGTAAATATTTTTTTTGTGCGGTTTAAAGTGCCTCTGGTTCACTTGCGATTTTATGAAAAATTGGGAAGATCTGCGGATATTTTTGTTTGTAAGAAGGGGAGAATTGAAGTAAAAATTTCAAGACTCCGTTTTTTTTGGAGATAATATTTCTACTTTTCGAAATCGCGCAGATTTCCTTTTTTTTGGAGGCACAAAATACAATGTCTTTGAAAATTTTCACTCTCGATTGTGAGTCGTTTTTTCGAAAGAGTTTGAAAATGCGATAAGGCTGTCAAAAAAAATTTTCTCGCCTTTCGAAAAGAAAGAATCGAAATTCCGATTTTCTTTTTTGAGAATTAAAGAATTTGTTTCTCTTCTTGTTCTTCTCGTAAAAATCGGACTTGTGATCACGATTTTTGAGCTCTTATTTGAACCACGAATTTATTTATTTAATTTTTTTTTTAATTAATTCAATAACCACGATTCATTGCAGTTCTGTTTCTACTATGCCACTTGCACGTGAGAATCCTGACGTAGGTTCGACGAAAATTCGCGTTACACAATGCATAACACACTGGATTCACTGTACTATTAATATAACAAAGATAATAGCATAAATCCCAAATTTCCTTTGGTATACAGTCCGTACAGGCGGCGAGAGGTTTTAATAGAACGAGAATATTGTACGGGGTCCAGGTGATAATAAAGGCAAGAAGAATGGCCGATAATGTTTTAGCGGCTTTTTTATCAGCCTTCTTCTCCTGGGTCTTCTTTTTTTTCTTCACTGGCGGTTTTGTAAGCATATTACCTTTACCTCCTCCTCCACCACCACCTCCACCTCCTCCTGTTGTCAATGTTTTCGGAACATTACGAGCATTTAATGGTATCCTTATATCGGGAATGTGCGATGGTCGTCGAATTATTGACGATGGACTCGCCAATGATGTTTCTAAATTCAAAACTTTTCCCTTCTCCTGACGACCCTCAACTGCATTATGAACACTAAATGTCATCACCTCGTCGTGATACATTTTTATACTTGGACCCTCATTTCCAAAACGTCCGCCATCCTCTTTTGTCGGTAGACGAATCAGTATCGTGTAAACCTGAAATTGAAAGAAGAAAAAAACAAATTAAAGCAGAAATTAAGAAAAAAAGTAGAAAAATATAGAGTTACCACAAAAATTTAATTTCGTTTTTCCTTTTTCCATCAATTTTGCCTAGAAAACAGGAAAAACCCTGTTTTCCAGGAAAAATTGTCCCTTTTCCCTGAACCTAAAGAATATTCTGATTCACTCTAAAAATTAATTCTAAAAATTCACTCTAAAAATTTAGAAACTCAAAAAAATGTTCTATTACAATTATTTACGAATTTCTTCAAAAGTAAAATTATTCGAAAACATGAATAACTTCTTTCTTGAAATAAAAAATATTTAATTATTATTTTTCCATAGGAATTAAAATTTTTCAAAACAGGTAAATTCGAACCTTTTTGAAATTCAATAACTTAGGAGAATATTATTAGAAAACATTAAGAAACCGATTACTCAGATTCTTTGACTCGGAGTGATCGATTTCTTCATGTTTTGCAATTAAAGTTGATCGAGTGATAAAATCATTATTTTATATTATAAAAGAATATTATATTACTGTAATTTTTTCAAAATTATTTTCATCATTTCAATTCAATTATTATTTTCTACAATTTTTAATTAAAATTCTTCTTTAAATCAATTATTTTTAATAAATAATTTATGATAAAGTCCTTTTGAGAATTTTCAAATTCATTTGTTTACAATTCAGTTTTATGAAATTTCGATTATTCGAAAATTTTTCAATTAAATAAATATTAGAAAATAAAAAATTCAAATCATTTAAAAAAAAAATTCAATGAAAATTTTTCAAAAAAAATTAATTCTACAGAATTTTTTATTTTATTTAAGATTCTTGTTAGTTAAAAATTTGAAAAATTAAAATTTTCAATTATTTAATTAAAAATTTTTTCGAAATTCAATTATTTCTAAAAATTTACGCAATAATGCTTTTAATATTTAATTCTTATCTAAAATTTTAACTGAAATTCATTTTTGAATCAATTTTTATTAGCAAATTCTACGAGAATTCAATTATTTATAAATACGAAAATAAATATTTTATTGAAAAATTGAATGTTTCTTAAAATTGAATTCTCATGAAGAATATTATCAAAAAATTTTTAAATAATTGAATTCTTTCAATAAATTTAAATACAATTTTTAAGAAATTGTATTAAAAAGTAATTGAAATTGTGCGATGATTTTTATTATTCATGAAAATAATTGAATTCCTGAATAGAATTTTATTATTTATAGAAATAATTGAATCTTTGTAAAAATTTTATTATTTATGTAAATTTAATTGAATTATTGCGAAGAAATTTATACAAAATTTGTAAATAATTGAATTCCTGTGAAATTTTCCAAATTTATGAAAATAATTAAATGTTTGCGGAGAATTTTATTAAATTTTTTTTTGAATAATTGTATTTTAGAGAAGAATTTAATTATTTCTAAAAATAATTGAAATTTTAAAGAGAATTTTAAAAAATTGAGTTTTTGGAATCATTTGTAACTTCTCTAAAAATTCTATTTCTTTCTGGTGTTTTTAACTAAAATCCTTCTATAAATCCATTATTTTTAATAATTAATTTAATATATATATATTAAATTATAGAATTATAGAAAAATAATTGAACAAAGAAATATCAAAAAATTATTATAGAAAATAATTGAATTTTACAAAAACTTAGAATTGAAGTTATTTAGTAGTTAATTTTAATTTCAGTTTCCTGACTGTTTATACTGAAAAGAAACAAAAAAAATAAATACCTAGAATTAATTTTTTTCTGGAAAAAAACTTAACCTTTTAAATTTTTTCTTTTTAAATGTTTTCAGTTTTAAAATTAATGTACTGAAACTTATTGAATTCTAGCAAAGTATTTATCCAAAAATTTGAAAATAATTGAATTCTTTGGAGAAATTTCATTAAAATTCTATTCAAAACAATTGAAATCCAGCAAAGAATTTTATTAGTTATGAAAAAAAATCGAATTCTTCCAAAGAATGTTATTAAAATTGTACGAAAAGAAATTTAATTCTTGGCAAGAATTTTATTAATATTTTTGAAAATATTTGAATTGTGTTGAAGAATTTTTTCAATTTTTTTTTTAAATAATGTTTTTTTCAGTAATTTTTATTGAAAATTTTGAAAATAATTGAATTCTATGAAAAATTTCTTTTAAGTTTCTAAAATAATAATCGTAGTTCGTATTATTAATTGTAATTAATAATTCTATTATTAAATTTTATTAAAATTATTGCCAGAAAATTAAATTATTTTAAAAAATTTTTCCTGTTTTCGTAAATAATTAAAATTTTTTGAAGAATTTCTTTAAATTTCGTAAAAATAATGTAATTTTTTAAAAATAATTTTCACTGAAAGTTTTAAAAAATAATTGAAATTTACAAAGAATTTCATAAAAAAAAACTTTTAACAATAAATTAAAGTTTTAGAAAAATTTGATTACAATTTATAAAAATAATTGAATTTTTTTAGATGAATTTTACAATTTATAGAAATAATTCAATTGTTTCCAAGAATCTTATCAGAATTTTTGAAAATAAATAATAATTGAATTTTTTGAAGGAATTTTATTAAAATTTTTGAAATTAATTGAATTGAATCAAAAAATGTTATTAAAACGTATAAAAATAATTTTGTGCAACACCTGTAAGGAAAGTAATACTTTGCATGCCTGTAAAGTAGGCGCAAAACAGTACTTTGCTGCACTAGTGCGGCAAAGAGCTTACTTTGCTGCACTAGTGCGGCAAAGTGCTTACTTTGCTGCACTAGTGCGGCAAAGTTCTTAAACTTTTGGGTTTTTTTGGTGATATACATAGGTATTTGTTTCTATTTGTAGAATACCTGTTTTTTACAGTAATATACGCGTAAAAAACCACGAATATTACGTGCGGTAACATACGTTCCAAACCCTGCTAAACAGTACGTATGTTGGCGTCAACTAGCGTTTCCAAACAGCTTTTTTATCAAAACCAAAAGGTGTTGCACAAAGTACTGTGTGCAACACGTACGAAAGAAGATTTTCCAACTTCGTGCAAATTGCCGCCCTCGCTTCGCTCGGGACAGCAAACTTTGCACTCGTCGGAAAACAGCTTCTTTCTGTACTTGTTGCACAATATACTATTATACATTTTCTTTCTTAAGAATTTTATAAAAACTGTTGAAAATAATTTATGCTTATAATTTTAAAATATAAAATGTTTTAATTTACAAAATAATAATAATTGGAATATATCGCGTTTCGTGAGCGTATCTTTTGCTAGTTCAAGTAATAAATTTTATCCTCCTAGGAAAAAAAAAATCCATTAAGTGGTTAAAGGAATAAAAAATGAATATTTAAAAAAAACCGTTTCATTTAATTTCTTCATTTACGTGAATTTCCGGCGGTTAACCGGAATAGGATAAAAAAAAGAAGAAAAAAAAAGAAACTAAGGCAAATGTTTTTTGGGGGTTTTCCGCATATTTACAGAATCAAAGTGGATGAAAGGTTTTGTGGAATTACTCGACGTATCTATCAATATAAAACGTTGCAAGAGGGAGAGAGAGAGAGAGAGAGAGAAAAGGAAAGACGGGGAAAATAGCATTCACATCATCAGAATACTTTATCCGTTTTTCCACTTTATCCATTTTTTTCCCCTGTAATTTCACTGTTCTTCATGTTCCTCTTGACTTGATCCCAGTTTATTTTCTTCACTTTAATCGTGTACGTCCTACTTTTTTTTTTTTTTTTTTTCTTTTTTTAACGTATATACTATCTTCATCCTATCTAATTTATCTTCTATCGTACATTATCCTTCACAGACTTTATATATAGCTGTTGGCGCTGACAATTTTCAAAGCAGAATACAAATTCAATTTAAAAACTTCCTTTTCAAAAGACATAATAATACCTCTCAATAAAGATTATTACAAACTGAACGATTCAATTTTACAAACTGCCAGTGATTTAATTTATAATAGTCAACTTCATTCTTTGCGGTGGATATTTTAATATCAATTGACAAAAAAAAAAAAAAGAAATCACTTTAATTAATTTCAATCCAAATATTCTAAATTGAACAAAAAGAGAAATTAAACTAATATACGAATTCAGAAAATGAATTGAATTATTTATTCATTTTTTCATTTATTTACTGTGAATAAAATTACTCGACGAAAAAATGTTGTCAATTTTCCGGAAGGCCCCCTAGGAAATTGTAATTTATATTTATAAACCGAATAAGTTGAGAAGGCTTAAAATACGGAATTTCGTGAACTTGTCATGAGGCAGGGCTTTCAATATATTTTTCTTATTATATCTTTAACGCAATCCATCAAAATAAAGTAGACTCTGTCAGGGGGTGAAATTTCAGTCAAAAAAAAAAAGGAAAGAAAGGACAAACGAAAAAAAAGAAGAATCGCCCCGATGGTTAAACATATCTTCTGTTCTTTTTTCAAATCACACTATTCGGTGCGGATAATAAAGAGAGGCACAAAGATCTAGATGAAATGTGTTTACAAATCAAACACAAACTGGGTTAATGGGTCAATCCTCCCTTTCACTCTCACTCTCTCTCTCTCTCTCGCTCATAAAGTAAAAAGGGTGTCATTTTTTTTTCTTTCTCTCTGTAAAATAATAAATACGGGATAAATTTAATTGAGAGGGGAAAAAATTATAATTTTTGAGTATTTCGTTCTTTTTTTGGAATTTGATTTTTAAAGTAAAAAAAAAAGGATGGTAGCGATTCTAAACAAAAAAAATAAATTTGATACAGAATTTTACAGGAGGAAAATCTCTTTCATTTTATTTAGGCAGATGATATTAATTCTACACTAATAATAAATTCTTCGTAAGAAAACTACAAATAAATAAAATCTCATATAATTAAATTTAATTTGGAAGATATTTTTAGCCAAAAACTTATTATTTTATAAATTAAATTTAATTAATTTAATTCATCACTATTGAATACAACAGAGTAAAAATTCTACAAAATAAAATAAAATTTTTTTATCCTATTCCGGTTAACCGCCGGAAATTCACGTGAATGAAGAAATTAAATGAAACGGGTTTTTTTAAATATTCATTTTTTATTCTTTTAACCACTAAATGGGTTTTTTTTCCTTTAAAGTAAAATTTACGAAATTCAGTCATTGGATCGACTTTAAGGCACAAAAAAATCATCAGTCGATTTACAATGAAAAACAATTGGCAGAAAAATTTGAATTTTTATTTTCTTGACTTTTTCCTAACTTCGAGAAAAAAAGATTAATTCTATTTTTTTTTTATTTCTTTTCACTAGGTGAAAAATCAAAAAACTGAAATTAAAATTAACTACGAAATAACTTCAATTCTTAGCTTTTGTAAAATTCAATTATTTTCTCTAATAATTTTTTTTGATATTTTTTTGGTCATTTAGTTTCCTGGAGAAATCAAATTTTTTTAAATTTCAATTACAAAAGTTCTGAAATTTTACTATTTCTAAAAATTGCAAATGTAATTATTTTTAAATTCAATTATTTTCTAGAATTTTCAAGTAAAATTATTCAAAAGTTTAATAATTATTTTATAAATTATTGAAATGAAATAAATATTTTAAATAATTTCTAAAAACTCATTTTAAAACCTTTTTGAAATTCAAACATTTCTGAAATTTATAACTACAATTTATGGCAAATTAAATTATTTTCTAAAATTTGAAATTAAAATTGTTTACAATTTTAATAAATAAAAAAAGTATGTATTTATGTTAAGACTTCTATATTAATTAAAAGTTTCAAAAAGAAAGAAATTAAAATTTTCTGAAATTCAATTACTTCAGAAGATTAATACAATAAATTTCGTAAATTTATTTATTTTCTAGAATTAATCAAGTGAAATTCTCCCTAAGTCAATTATTTCTATCGGGACTGACTGATTATAATAAAATTTCACAAAATAATAAAATTTTTGTAAAGAATTTTATTAAAATTCTTTAAAATAATTAAATTCTTAGGAAAAATTTATAAATTATGAAAATAATTGAAATTTTGCTAAGACTTTAATTATATTTTTTGAAAATAATTGAATTTTTTCAAAGAATTTAATTAAAATTTTAAAAAAATATTTCAATTCTCAAGACAAAATTGAATCTAAATTTTACAAAATAATTAAATTTTTGCGAAGAATTGTATTAAATTTTTAAAAATAATTGAATTCTTTTGAGAAATTCTATTGAAATTGTATTAAAAAAAATTTAATTCCTGAGAAGAAAATTCTATAATTAACATTTTTAGAAGTAATTGAATTCTTTCAAGAAATGTTATTAATTATGAAAATAATTGAAATTTTAATAAGACTTTACAAAAATATTTCAAAGTAATTGAATTTTTGCGAAAAATTTTATTATTTAGGACAAATATTACATTTTTTCTTTCAAAAAATTTTATAAATTTTGAAAATAATTGAAAATTTTGCTATGAATTTAATTAATTTAACAAAGTTTTTGAAAATAATTGAATTTTTGCTTAAAAATTTTATCAAACTCTATTGAAAATGTTTCAATTCTCAAAAAGAATTGTATTAAATTTTTTTAAATAATTGAATTCTTTTGAGAAATTCTTTTGAAATTGTATTGAAAATAATTGAATTTCCGAGAAGAATTTTATAATTAACATTTTTATAAATAATTGAATTCTTTAGAGTAAATAATTGAAATTTGATAAGAATTTTACAAAAATATTTCAAAATACATAATTGAATTTTTGCGAAAAATTTTATTATTTAGAACAAAAATTAAATTTTTTCGTGCAAAAAATGTTTTAAATTTTGGAAATAATTGAAAATTTTGCTAAGATTTTTATTAAAATTTTCGAAAATCATTGAATTTTTTAAGAAATTCAATTAAAATTATATTTCAAATATTTCAATTCTCATAGTGAATTTAATCAAAATTTTTGAAAATAATTGAATTTTTGCTTAAGAATTTTATCAAATTTTGAAAAATAATTGAATTCGTTTGAGAAATTTTATTGTAATTTATTGTATTTAAAATAATTGAATTTCTAAAAAGAATTTTATTAATATTTTTGAAAATAATTAATAATTATAATAATTAATTCGTAAATTAGTTAATATTCGAATTTTTAAAAATTTTGAATTTGAAAATTGTATTTTGAATAATTTTAAATTTGAATAGTTTTAATTAAGAATTCTACAGAACTTAATATTTTGAGAATGTTTAATTAAAATTTTTTGAAATTCGTCGAATTTTTTAATATTACAATTGGAAAACTTTCCTCTAATCAAAATTTGTAAACTTAAATTGAAAGCAATTGAATTAGACGTGAACTTTATTTTTTTCTTTGAATAACAGAATTCTCAAGACTTTCTAAAAATTAAAAATTATTCAATGAAGAAAAAATTTTCGTTACGAATTCAATAAAATAATTGAATTTCAAGAATTTAGAGTGATAATTTTTAGAAATAATTGAATTCCAGAAGCTGGTGTTCAATTTAGCGGCGTAGAGTTAATACTTAAATTGCACTATAAAAAATTTAATTTTCTTCTCTATATAATTTTATTTTTTAGAATTTTATTGGTTTTCCTTCTGTAAAATTTGCTGTATCAAACTTTTTTCAGAGTTTTTTTCGAGTTCGAATTTAGAATCGCTTTCACCTCTTTTTTGCTTTAAACCAGATTCAAAAAAAAGAAAGAAATACTCCAAAATTTTTATTTCTTTCCCTCTCAATTAAATTTGTCCTTATTATTTTACAGAGAGAAAAAAAAACTATTGGAGATTTTAACTATTGAACTGCATAGAATTGTTGCCACTGTGGAAAAAGGAATAAAGAATAAAGAATAAATAGAAAATAGAAAGTAGTAAGAGAAAAAGAAAAAAAGGCGATTTTGAGGAAAATTGGGGATAAAAGTTTGTTTGGCGTGGAGTGTTGTCCCCCTTACCGAATCGTTGCCGGCGGTTCTTGTTGTTGTTTTGTATTCGGAATTAAGTTCAACGGCAGTGGCAGTGACTTTGTCGAGAGGCAAGCTCGTTGCTTGAATGACACTGAGAGACGGGCAACGCGATTCCGTTCCTGTTATTGGTGTTTCGGCGGAAATTGGCGTAAGGGTTTCCTCACAGCCAGCTTTACTGCTCTCCGGTCCGCCAATATCGTCCTCGTCATCCTCATCCTCTCTGCCACTGTGCCACCACGCGATACACCACATTTTTAACCAAGTCCAAGAAAAGGGCCGATGCTTCTGTAACAAAACATTTAAATCCTTTCCTGATTTTAATTTGTCGAGACAATTTTTTATTTCTTAAAAACTAAATTCAAATTTTCTATTTTTCATTCTGTAAACGAAATATTAAAATTCCTCTCGTAATTTTCTTTTCAAATCTCGACATTTTTCAGTCTTGACAATTTTTTAGTTTTTAAAATTAACTAAATTCAAATTTTCTACTTTTGGTTCTGAAAACGAAATATTAGAATTCTTCTTCCAATTTTTTTCAATTTTGACAATTTTTCATTTTTTATAAACAAAATTCAAATTCTCTAATTTTTCTGTAAACGAAATATTAAAATTCCTCTTGCAATTTGTTTTCTTCTTTAAAAACAAAATTAAAATTCTCTACTATTAGTTTTGTAAACGAAATATTGAAATTTCTCTCCTAATTTTTTTCAATTTCCACGTAATTTTATGTTTTTTAAAAACAAAATTCAAATTTTCTACTATTTTACTTCTGTAAACGAAACATTAAAATTCCTCTCCTGATTTTTTCATTCTCGACAATTTTTTATTTTCTACAAACAAAATTCAAATTTTCTACTTTTAATTCTGTAAACGAAACATTAAAATTACTCTCCTGATTTTTTCCTTTCCCAGAGTTGCTACAAAAATTTTATTTTATTTTTCCCGCAATTCCAGACAAAATTTTGACTTTTTCCTGACCCTAAAGAATATATTCTGATTCACTCTAAAAATTATTAGAAACTCAAAAAAATGTTTTATTACATTTATTTACGAATTTTCTTAATTGTAAGATTATTCAAAAACACCAATAACTTGATTTTCAAATAAATATTTAATCACTATTATTTTTCCACGAAACTAAGAGTTTCAAAATTTCTAATTCAAACCTTTTGAAATTCAATTAGGTACTTATAATAATTTAAATTTCCATAAAATTTTTCAAAAAAAATTTAATTATTTATAAAAATTTTTTTAAAATTCTTCACAAGAATTCAATTATTAAAAAAAAAATTCGTTGCAAGAATTCAATTATTTTCATAAATAATACAATTTATTCTTCACAGGATTTCAATTATTTAACAAAAATGTAATAAAAATTCGTTGCAAGAATTCAATTACTTTCATAAATAATACAATTCTTCACAGGATTTCAATTATTTAAAAAAAATTTAATAAAAACTTCATTTGTTTACAATTTAATTTTACAAAATTTCGATTATTCGGAAATTTTTCAATCAAATTTACATTAGAAAATAAAACTTTAAAATAATTTAAAAAAAAAAATTTTTTAAAATCGATTAAGTAAGCTTTTTGAAAAAAATTAGTTCCATAGAATTTTGAATTAAAACAAAAAATTCAAATTTTCAAAGACTTTAATTTTAAACCTTTACAAAATCCAATTATTTCTAAAGATTGAATAATTGTATGTCTCTTAACATTGAATTCTCATAAAAAATTTTATTAATAAATTTTTAATAATTGAATTCTTTTGACGAATTTTAATAATATTTTTAAGAATAATTACATTTTTCTAGGAATACGATTAAAATTGTATTAAAAATAATTGAATTTCTGTAATGAGTTTTATTATTTATGAAAATAATTGAATTATTGCGAAGAAATTTATAAAAAGTACTAGACAATACATTTTTTTTGGAAAAATTTATGCAAATTCTATTTTTAATAATTGAATTCCTGTGAAATATTCATTATTTGAGAAAATAATTTAATATTCGTGTAGAATTTTGGTAAAATTGTTTTTAAATAATTAAATTCTTTTGGGAAATTTTATTTAAATAATAGATGTAGAAAATTATTGAATTAAGAAAAATTTTTGAAAACAATTGAAATTTTGCAATGAATTTTATTAAAATTTTTGAAAATAATTTAATTCTTGTGATGAATACTATTATTTATGAAAATATTTGAATTTGGCAATGAATTTTATTAAAATTCCTGAAAATAATTTAATTTTGTAGAAAAATTTTGCCATTCATTTTTAAAGATAATTGAAATGTTGACGACAATTTTTTTTTTTAGATTTTTTGATAATTGAATTTCTGCGAAGAATTTAATCAGTTTTGAAAATAATTGAATTTCTGCGAAGAATTTAATCAATTTTGAAAATAATTGAATTTTACAGTAAATTTTATAAAAATTCCTAAATATAATTGAATTTTGGCGAAGAATTTTGCTATATTTATAAAAATAATTAAAATGCTGACGATAATTTTTTTCTAATTTTTGAAAATAATTGTATTTCTGGAAAGAATTTTAATATATATATTAAGATAATTGAATTCATTCGAAGAATTGCGTTAAAATTTTGAAAATTGAAACTATAATTTCAACAGAATTGAAATAAAAATTTTTCAAAAAAATATTTTATTAAATGATTTATAAGTAATAACTTTATGGCAGTTCTTCAATAGCATTAAGTTATTTAAAATAAATTATTGATAGAAATAGAATAAATTTAAGGTTTTTTCAGAAATTCATAATTTTCTTGGAAATTCTAAACATTAAATTTTTTCCACTACTTTTAATAAAAATCACTGACTTTTTTTATAAACAAAATTATAATTTAATCAAAAAGAAAAGTCTTTTATTTTTACAAAAATATTTATAAATATTTTATAAATTATTTATATACTTATTTCTACTGAGATGAATATTTCATATTTTACGAAAATATTTCTATATAATAAACTTATAATGAAAAATAAGAAGAAAACAATTTTTCAAAGAATTACTTAATAAATTGAAAAGAAAGAAAATAATAATCTTGACGATTTTAAAATTATTTAATGTACGAATGAAATGAAAGTTTATTGCTTTTTCTCACGTTTAATCTCGACGCTTTTTCGGTTTATGAGACGATTATATAGGATTAGAGTGCGATATGAAAATGAAAAAAAAACACCGAAACGTTTACAAGTTTTTATAATAAGATTAAAAAGAAAAAAGAGAGAAAAAGAGAGAGAAAGAGAGAGATTGCAGTAGATAAATTGTTTTGGTGAATTTAATTGAAAATAATAATCATCCTTGGAAAAAGTGTTTTTAATTTTTCTCCTTTTATATTAATTAAGAAGAAAAATATATATACTCTCACCATTTTATGCTGAGGATAATGCCTATCCAGATAAGAAACGGCGAAGTGAGTATTAAGTTCATCTGCGCCTGTACTTGACTCGCTTCTCGGCCTCCTGCATTCATCCAGATCTAAGGCCTCATCGCTGTGGGGCATAAAAATTGATATTTTTAATGTAAAAGTTGATCTTTCATAATTGCCGGTCTTAATTTATTTATCTCCTTGAAAAAAGGTGCTTAATTCCATTTTCTCTTTTCTTTCTTTCTTCAATTTATATTCAATTTTTTTATTATCATTTTAATAAAAAAGTAATTATTCTTAAAAATTATTATTATTATTTATAAAAAATAATGGTAAAAATAATTTTAAAAAGTGGTTTTTTTCAACATTTTTTTCATGAATTTATATTTAATTTTATAATTTTAATAAAAAGTAATTCTACACACGTTTAATTTTTATAAGTAGTTAACTCCACTTATTTTTATTTTCATTTTTCATTAAACATATACCTTTTCAATTTAATTTTATAATTTTAATTACAAAAATTCTAAAAGGAAAATTTTTTACTAAAGTGAATTAAATTGAATACTCAATATGTGTTTATAATTTAAATTAAAAAAAGTACTTATACAAATTTTTAATATTTCATAATTTTAATAATACAAAATTTTATGCATAAAATTTTAGAATTTTTATAGAAATAATTTTATTCATATATATGTAGTTAAATCATTTAGGTATTTTTCAATTTATATTTAGAGTTCTAATTAATTTGTTTATTTTACAAATAGAATTAAAATTTTTAAATAATAAATTAGTAAAATAGAATTTAATTAATTTCAAAGACGAAAAAAATTTATAAACAAAGGCAAAATATTCTTCAATGAATTAATTTTCTAATTTCAATAAAAAAAAAAATTCTACACAAAAAGAAAATAGAAATTTTTATTTCCTTTGTTTATTATTATTTTCAATTTAATTTTTCTGATATTAGTATTAAAATTTTCAAAAATGAAAAATTGTAAAAATAAAATTTTCCGTTGAATTAAATAAAATTGAATTCTTTCGAAAAATTTAATTACAATTGTATTCAAAATAATTCAATTTTTATATAGAATTCTATAAAAATTATTCTCGAAATAATTGAATTCATCTGAAAAATTTTATTATTTATGAATATAATTGAATTTCTGCGAAGAATTCCTCATTAATTTTTAAACATAATTGAATAATTTCAAGAAATTTTATTAAAAACTAAAAATAATTGAATTTCTAAGAAGAATTCTTTTTTTAACAAAAATAATTGAATAATTTCAAGAAATTTTATTTAAAAATAAAAATAATTGAATATTTTCAAGAAACATTAAAAATATAAAAATAATTGAATTTCTTTAAAGAATTGTAATATTTATGAAAAGAATTGAATTTTTGACAAAAATTTTATTAAAATTATATTAAAAATAATTGAATTCATCTGAAGAATTTTATTATTTATGAAAATAATTGAATACTTTCGAGAAAATTTATTGAAATTGCATTGTTAATAATTGAACTCATTTGAAGAATTTTATTATCTACAAAAATAATTAAATTTCTGCGAAGCATTCTACTTCAATTTTTAAAAATAATTGAATACTTTCAAGAAATTTTATTAAAAATAAAAATAATTGAATACTTTCAAGAAATATTAAAAATATAAAATTACTTGAATTTCTGTAAAAAAAATGTATTATTTAAGAAAAGAATTAAAATTTTTGACAAGAATTTTATTAAAATTATATACAAAATAATTGAATTCATTTGAAAAATTTTATTATTTATGAAAATAATTGAACTTCTGCGAAGTATTCCTCGTTAATTTTTAAACATAATTGAATACTTTCAAGAAATTTTATTAAAACATAAAAATAATTGAATTTCTGAGAATTTTTTTTTTCTTAAAAATAATTGAATTTCTTTAAAAAATTATATTATTTACGAAAAGAATTGAATTTTTGACAAGAATTTTATCAAAAATTATATTAAAAATAATTGAATTTTTGCATAGAAGTTTATTAAAATTCTTGAAGAGAATGAAATTTTTTAGTTGAATTTTATTAAATTTAGATTGAAAATAATTTAATTTTTTAGATAAATTTTATTAAAATTTCTAAAAGTAATTCAATTCTTTCAAGAAATTTAATTAAAATTGTATTGAAAGTTATTGGATTATGTCGAGGAATTTTATTAAAGTTTTTGGAAATAATTGAATTATTTCGAGAATTTTAATGATTTTAATGATAATAATTGAACTGAGAATTATTAATTTTTTTGAGAAATTCTGACTAAGAATATTGCTATAATTTTTGAAAATAGTTAAATTGTTCTGAAGATTTTTATTGTTTACGAAAATAATTGAAGTTTTGCAATGAATATTGTGTTTATAAAAATAATTCAATTCTTTCAAGAAATTTTTTTGTATTATGATAATAATTGAATTCCCCTGAATAATTTTATTATTTATAAAAATAATTGAAATTCTGCGAAGAATTTTACTGTTTATGAAACTAATTTCAATTCTTGCGAAGCATTTTATTACATTTTTTGAAAATAATTGAATTTTTAGAAATAATTTTGTTATTTACAAAAATAATTGAATTCTTGCAAAGAATTTTATTAAATTTTTTGTGAATAATTGAATTTTTAGGAATAATTTTGTTATTTACAAAAATAATTGAATTCTTGCAAAGAATTTTATTAAATTTTTTGTGAATAATTGAATTGATTGAAAAAAATTTTATTATTCACGAAAGTAATTCAATTAATGTAAAGAATTTTATTGTTTATGAAAATAATAATTGAATTCTTGCGAAGAATCTTATTAAAATTTTTGAAAATAATTGAATTGATTCAAGGAGCTTTAAAAGTTTTATAATTTTCTTTAGTCTTTTTTTTGGCGTCTATATTCTAAAAAACAGATAAAAAGTTGTTATTATGATTTTTCAAAATATAATTAATAATAATTAGTATTAATTAATTAGATTTATTAATTAATAATTTTATACCAATTTAGTTAAATTATTTAATTTTTTTTTTAAAGTTTTATGTTATTAATTTCAGGTCTAGAAAAAAAATATGTAAATGAAATGAAAAAAAATTCTTCACTGAATATTATATTTAAGAAAAAAAAGAAAATTTGTGAAAGAAGATTTTCTTTCGAGTTTTCGTTGAAGGAAAACGCGCATTGCATCGAAAAGAAAAATGGAATAAATAGATACCTGGAATTGCTCCTCTTGCTCGCGTCCTGATTTCCTGCTTGCAGATTCGGTAAGTCCTTTTGACGTTTTTCAGTTTCTCGCCATATACGCCAGTAAAGAAAAATCATGACACTGACGGGTATGTAGAAAGCCGCAATTGCCGTGCCAAATGTAATATAATGATTCGTCTCAAGAAATTGTATATAACAATCGTTTTCCTGAACTGTTCGTTGGCCCTCGATATAAGGCCACGCGTAAATCCACGGTGGCCACAGTAAAAGCGATATTCCCCAGGCACAAGCTGCAAAAAGCAAATACGAAACAGAAAATATTATTAAATTGCTTTCGAAAATTTATGATAATTAGAAATATAAATAATTATAATTTATGATTAAAAAATAAAGATTTTTAGAAACAAAAATTTTTCTTTCTTTTTGTAACTTTCGTTTTGTATTTTTTTTTAGTTCAAAATTTTCCAACTCGAAAAAATTGAAATTGAAAATTAAAAAAATAAGTGAACAGTTCTTTTCAAACAGAAAATTATTTTATCAACTTTCAGTGGAAATTAATTAAGATAATTAATTATAATATAATAATTACAAATTTACAAGTTTTAGAAACAAAAATTTGTCTTTCTTACAAGTTTTAGAAACAAAAATTTGTCTTTCCTTTTGTAGCTTTTTCTATTTCAAAATTTTCCAATTCGAAACAAAACAAAAATTTCTCTTTTCTTTTTTAGCTTTTACTATTTCAAAATTTTCCAACTTAAAAAAAAATGGAAATTGAAAATTAAAAAAAGAAGTAAACAGTTTTTCCAAAAAGCAAATTACTTTATCAGGTTTTAGTGAAAATTAATTAAAATAATTATAATTCATTGTAATTCATAATTTAGAATTTTTAAAAAAATTTTCTAATTCGACAAAATTAAAAATTAAAACAAGAAGTGAATAGTTTTTCACAAAATAAAATTATTTTATTAACTTTCACTGCAAATTAATTAAAATAATTATTTCTAATTAACAATTTTTTAAAGCAAAAATTTTTCTTTCCTTTTCGTTTCTTCAAAATTTTCCAAATCGGAAAAACTGAAATGGAAAATTAAAAAACGATGTAAAAAATTTTTCTAAAAAGAAAGTTACTTTATCAACTTTCAGTGGAAATTAGTTAAAATAATTCATTGTAATTCATAATTTACAATTTATAAAAGAAAAAATTTTCCGTTTCTTTTGTAATTTTTTCTACTTCAAAATTTTCCAATTCGACAAAATTGAAAATTAAAACAAGAAGTGAATAGTTTTTCCAAAAAGAAAATTATTGTATCAAATTTCACTGGAAATTAATTCAAATAAATATTTATAATTTATAATTTACAATTTTTAAGAGCCAAAAGTTTCCTTTTTATTTTGTAACTTTTTCTAGTTTAAAATTTTCCAATTCGAAAAAATTGAAAATTAAAAAAAAGTGAATATAGTTTTTCCAAAAAGAAAATTATTGTATCAACTTTCATTGGAAATTAATTCAAATAAATATTTTGTAATTTACAATTTTTTAAATAAAAAATTTTCCTTTTCTTTTCTTTTCTTCAAAATCTTCCAATTCGAAAAAATTGAAATTGAAAAAAAAAGTGAAAAGTTTTTCCAAAGAGAAAATTATTTTATCAACTTCCCGTGGAAATTCATTAAAATAATTAAATAAATTTTTTAAAATAATTTTTTAAAAATTTACATTTTTTAGAATGAAAAATGTGTTTTTCATTTTGTAACTTTTCCTATTTAAAACTTTTTCAATTCGAAATAAATTGAAATTCAAAATTAAAATAAGAAGTAAACAGTTTTTCCAAAAAGAAAATTATTTTATCAACTTTCAGTGGAAACTTATTATTGAAATAATTAATTACAATTTATAATTTACAATTTTTTAGACTAAAAAATTTTCCTTTTCTTTTGTAACTTTTTCTACTTTAAAATTTTCCAAATCGAAAAAATTGAAATTGAAAATTAAAAAGAGAAAAGTGAACCTTTTTTTTAAAAAGAAAGTTATTTTATCAACTTTCAGTGAAAATTAATTAAAATAATTAATTATAATTTGTAATTTACAATTTTCAAAAGCAAAAATTTTACTTTTATTTTCTTCTTTTCACAATTTTCCAATTCGAAAAAATTGAAATTGAAAATTAAAAAGAGAAATCTATTTTATCAACTTTTAGTGGAAATTAATTAAAATAGTTAAGTTTAATAATTTAAAAAATTTACAATTTATAGAACCAAAAATTTGTTTTTTCTTTTAGATCTTTTTCTATTTCAAAATTTTCCATTTTGAAAAAAATCGAAATTGAAAATTAAAAAAAGAAGTGAACAGTTTTTCCAAAAAGAAAATTATTTTATCATTTTTCAGTGGAAATTAAATAAAATAATGAAAAAATTTATAATTTTCAATTGAAACTGAAAACGAAAGAGAGCAATTCTTAAATTGAATGGAGAGTTGGGAGTTTTGCAAAGTCCTGCGAACGATTGAAAGAGACTTTCCTGAGACTCTAAAGTGTTAAAGTTGAGTTACTTGCTTAAATTGAAACATTGAATTTCAATTAAAATAGCTTAACTATTTACATATATTACGATATGCGATAGTTTGCTGCTAAGGGGGAATATATGTGTATATAACTTCCACTGAAAGCGTTTAAAGTCCACTCACGTGAATATTGCTGAAATTGAATAGCACGAAAACTAACAATGAATATTATCAAACTTTGATACACAACTGTAAGGGAACTGAAAACGCTATATATCCAAGTTTAATGACGAGGATATCTGATTGAAATTATTTAAATTTAATAGCGTGGAATACAGTAATAATAAAATAAAAATAATAATACCAATACTACGTAATAAAAATAAGATTAAAAATTATTATTTGAAAATTGTATTTGAAACCAAACAAACGCATTGGGCCTTTTTATTACGCACATTAAATAATAATTGTTATTATTATAAATTTAATAATATTATAATTGGTAATAAAATAATTATTAAAATAATTAATAAAATAATTAACAAAATAATAAAATAAAAATATTATAATTACAATAATTATTATTATCATTATTATTATTACTTTTTTTTGAATTTTATTTTTGTATTGATATTATTACTCTTGTTACGGTTTTTGTTAATATTTGCTATTACTATTATTATTATTAGAATTATTATTAGAATTATTATTATGATTAGAATTATTATTATTATTACCATAAAATGTCAGAATATATTTTTCTTCCCTCAAAATTGCAAAAATTTACTTTTTCTCGTCTCCATAAAAATATATAGTCGAGAGAAATAAATTTTATTTCAAAACAATGAATTTTCATGTTAGTTTTCTGTTGACTATTCAGTAAAAAATATTATTCTGCGCGAAGCGGAACTCGGTGAAATAAAAACTCGACGAATTTTTCCTTTCTTTTTTGCCAATCGATAATTTTCTTTTTCTTGTTTGAAAATTAATTTGCCTTTCGAGTAGTTCTCTTCTTTTTCTTCTTCTTTTTTTTTTCTTTTTTTTGTTTTTTTTCGGAGAGAAAAGAAAAAAGAGTAAATATTGTTAAATAATAATTGTAGACTCAATATACTTGGTAATTGGAAGGCCAGCAAACCAAAGAGTAACGAAATTTTTTTTCCAACTTAAAATGAAATCCAATAACGTCTGTAAATTAAAATTAATAAATTATGTAAATTAAGTTTTGAGAAAATAATAGGAAAATTAATAGAAAGTAATTAAAAGTAAATAGAAGTAAATAAGTAAATTTGTAATAAAATTAAACTTGAGTAACTCAAATAATTTGAATAAAAATTGTATTTTTACCTGAAAAATTATATACAGGGTTTCTACGAATTCTTCTTTGATAAATTTTGGATTTTTTCATGATTTCCAAAGGATAATTTTTATATTATTTTTATTTTTAATTTTATTTCAAAAAATATTCTGATTCAACCCAAATTTTATTTATCAGATTTCTTTTTTAATGGAATTTCGATTGAGATATAACTTTATTTGTCGGATTGTCAGAATTTTCATTCAATAGTTAATTCTTAAAATAAAAAATTTTCATTTCACAGAACTTTTATTTATCCGAATAATAAAATGCGATAGAAAAATTTTGTCTTGAATTTAAAAATTAATTAATTACAATTTTCTTATTGTCTGATTAATTTTTAAATTTTCTGCAAAAAATTATTAATCAAAACTTGTGAAATAATTCAAAATTAAGGAAAAAATAAGAAATTAGTTTAATTAGTACTAAAGTACTTTTCTGTTAAATAGAATTGTTGAAAAATATAAAATGGAAATTATGTTAAATAAAAATTTGATAAACTGGATAATCTTCTTTTAAATTGTTGAATAAATCAAAAATTCTGTTAAATAAGAAATTAGTTAATCAAATATTCTTTTGGAATAAAAACTCGATTAAATATAGAACTTCAAATTAAATAAATCTGAGCAGAATTTTCACGAAATTGTAAATTTGAAATAATTTTCATTATTTCATGAACCAAAATTAAATTCCATGACAATTCTATGGTTTAAATTAATTTGAACTTTTTCTTAATGCAATTTTTTATTAAACACAATTTCTACTTATCCCAATTTTTATTTAAAAGAATTTTTATTTAACGAAACTTTTATTTATAAAACTTCTTCTTCGATAGAATTTCGATTGAGCCGAATTTTTATAAATGACAGAATTTTCATCTCACTGAATCTTCATTCGTCAGCATTTTTATTTACTCGAATTGTCATTCAATAGAATTCTTAAAATGTGAAATTTTCATTTGACTGAACTTTTATTTATCTAAACAAATTTGCATTTTGGAGCAGTTACAATTACTGCAAAAATTCAATTTTATTATGTTCAAAAGTTTAAAAAAATTCTTGTCAAAATTTTAATTATCTTTATAAATAATAAAATTCTTCTCCGAAATTCAATTATTTTCAACAAATTTAATAAATTTCTTTGGCAAAATTTCAATTATTTTAAAAAATTTTCCTCAATTCAATGATTTTCAATATCTACTATTTTAATAAAATTATTGAAAAGAATTCAATTATTTGAAACAAATTTTTATAAAATACTACGAAAACATTCAATTTTATTTCCATAAATATTAAAAATATCACAGGAATTCAATTATTTACAAAGAATTCAATTATTTTCAAATTTGTTATAAATTTCTTCGTAATAATTCCATTATTTTCATAAACTCTATAATTTTTTACAGAAATTCAATTATTTTTGTAAATAATAAAATTTTTTTTTTTATGAATACAATTATTTTCATAAATAATAAAATTCACATTATTTTCAATACAATTTTAATAAAACTTCTTGAAAAAATACAATTATTTTTAAAAATATTTATTAAATTAGAATATTTTCAAGAATTTTAATATAAATTGAATTATTTTCAACAATTTTGATGAAAATTTTTTTTAAAAATTATTATTTTCAAAATATTTAGTAAAATTCCTTCGAAAAATTCAACTATTTTCAAAAATTCTGATAAAATCCTTCCAAAAAATTCAATTATTTTTATTAATTTTAAAATCCTTCGCAAGAATTCAATTATTTAAAAAAATTTAACAAAATCCTTCGCAGGAATTAAAATATTTTCATAAATAATAAAATGTTTCGGACGAATTCAATTATTTTCAATACAATTTTAAAAAAATTTCTTGAAAGAATACAATTATATTTAAAAATTGAAAGAATATATTTTTAAAAATATTATTTAAATTCAATTATTTTTAACAATTCTGATAAAAAATTCTTCAAAACAATTTAATTATTTTTATAAATTATAAAATTCTTATCAAGAATTCAATTATTTTAGTAAATAATAAAATTCTTCTGAGAAATTCAATTATTTTAATAGAATTTTAATTAAATTTCTGGGAAAAAATTGATTTATATTCAAGATAATTTTAATAAAATTTTTAACTGGTTTAACTATTTTTAAAAATTGTAATACAATTTTTCTAAACAATTCAATTGTTCTCAAAAATTTTTAATAAAACTCTTTGTAAATTTAAATTATTTTAAAAATTTTTAATTAAAATTACTTTAAAAAATTACATTATTTTTACGAAATTTAATGAAATTCTTCAAAAAAAAAAGTAATTATTTACAAAAACTCTAATAAAATTGTTTAAGAAAATTTAACTTTCTTTGAATAATTTTAATATAATTTAGTAGGAAAATTATTAATTACAATTAAAGCTAAAAACGATTATTTTAAAAACTTAAATGAAATTCTTCATAAAATTCAATTTCTTTTAAAATTTTCAATAAAAATTATTTTAAAAAACTCCTTTATTTCCAAGATAATTGAAATAAATTCTTCAAAACAATTCTATTTCTATTTTCAAGAATATTAATTAAAATCTAGCTAAGAATTAAATTATTTTCAATACAATAATTTTAATTACATTTTCTCGAAAGAATTCAATTTGTGAAAAAAAATGTTTGATAAACTTCTTGAAATGAATTCAATTATTTTCAAATTTTTTTTATAAATACTTTACAAGAATTCAATAATTTGCAGTTAATTGAAAATTTAATCATTTCTGAAAATAATTGAATTCTTGAATAGAATTTTATCAAAATTTTTTAAATAATTGAATCCCTGCGAAAAAATTTATTTCTACAAATAATTTAATTTTTGCAAAATTTAAAAAAATAAGTGAATTTTTGAGAAGAATTTTATGAAAATTGTATTTAAAATAATTGAATTCTTGTGGAAAATTTACTATTTATTGAAATAATTGAATTTTTACGAAGAATTTATAAATAATTTAATTCTTCCTGGAATTCAATTATAATTGCATTTAAAATAATTGAATTCAATGATTTTCCTTACATTAATTTAAAAATTTTAAACATTTACGAAAAAAAATTATTTAAAAAAATTAGGAAACAAAAAAAGCAAACAGCAACTAATTTCAAACTGCGAACAAATTACCAGAATACAACGATTAATAATATAGATTCTTAAAATTTTTTTGAATTTTAAAAGGTTTAAATTTGAATGTTTTGAAAAATTTTAATTCCTACGGAAAAATAATAATTAAATATTTATTTGAAAAAAAAGAAGTTATTGTTGTTTTCGAATAATTTTACAATTAGAGAAATTCGTCAATAAAAGTAATAGAAATTTTTTTTTTGAGTATTTAATCAATAGAGTGAATCAAAATATTTTTTAGAGTCAGGGGAAAGGGAAAATTTTGTCTTGAAATCAGGGAAAAGTCAGGGAAATACAAAATTAAATTTTTGTATCAACCCTGTTCATGACAATTCCAAGTTTTTAAATTCAATTTCAATTAAATTCCAAGTTAATTTTTTCCTGATTCGTAGAAACCCTGATATATATTATTCAGTAATCTCGATATCTCTCTCTCTCCTGTGGAAAAAAGAAAAAAATATATCATCAAGACGATGAATTTCAAACGATAAGAAAAAAAATAGAAAAAAAGAGGAAAAATAAAATTATTGGATAATTCTCACCAATCATGATGCCAGCCTTGTAGGTGGTTCTCTTTGCCCGATAAGTGAGTGGCCTGGTGACTGAGAAATATCTATCGAAGCTGATGATAAGAAGATTGAGTACCGAGGCGTTACTCGCGAGATAATCAAGCGCAAGCCATGTATCGCAAATGTGTGGTCCTAATGGCCAATATCCAAGTACATTATAAACCGTGAATAATGGCATTGAAAATAGTCCAATTGCAAAATCGGCCACTGCCAAACTGAATAGAAAATAATTGGAGATCGTTTGTAATTGTTTATCAATTTTAAACGATATCATCACCATTATATTTCCAACAACAGTGACAAGACTGAGGCATGTGGCAACAATTACAAGCAATGTTTTACCCACTGGCGAATAATGCGAGTTACCTGCAACTTCAGGATTTGCGCTGTTATTAAAACTCTCATTGCTCAGGGTCTGAGTCACTAACGTTACGTTCATGTTCTGTCGTGCCTTCTCCTTTTTCATACAATTTCCCTTCTGTTGGTTTTCCCTCTTTTTTTGCTATTCCTTTTTTTTGCTTTTTCTTTTTCTCTTTCTCTCTCTCTCTCTCTTTCTCTCTCGCTTTCACTCTTTCGTTCACTCTCTTTCACTCACGTGTCTCTCCTCTCTCACTCATACAAAGAACACGTGCAAATTCATACATACATGGAACGCACACCATTTCATTCCCATCAAACCCACCCCCCATCCCCCACCCGCCCCCAACCCCTTTTTCGCCTCGTCCTCGTCTTCCTCCTCCGCCTCAGCCTCAGCCTCAACAAACCCCTCCAGTTGCCTTACTGTCGTTCTCTCGCTCTTAAAAAAAAAAAAAGAGCAACGTCAACTACATCCCACGACGTTTGTTCTTGTCGACAGGAGCATCGATTCTGAAAAAAGAAAAAGAAATGGAAAATAAATATATAAAGGAACATTTAAATACTGTCAGCTGTTGATCATTGATCTTATCAACTATATATATATATGTATTTAACGAGAAAGAAAAGAGAGACCTTTAACTATTTTTGCACCATTGTTGCGAAAAATTTCATTATGACACACATTTTCTATTCAGCAAAAAATTGCAACACGGGAAAAAATTTTCCTCTATTAGGTGACTTCTTTTACTTTCTCCTTCTCTTTCTCTTTCTCGAAAAGAGAAAGAGAAAGAGAATTTCGAATAAAAAGTGATAAAATTCTTTTTTTTCCGCCGGGGGGGAAAGTCGATTTATTCACTGCGTAATTTGTTGAGATTTGTCTGTAGTTTTTCAGAAAAATTATTGGAATGAATAAAATGAATTTTAATATGGAGTTTCAAGTATTTTTCGTGTATTAGGAAAACGAAATTTTATCACGAAAACTTTATCAAGATGGAAATTCAATATTCAAATTTCAATTTTTGGAATTCAGTTTTGTAGTTGAAATTTCAAATTATCGAAAACTAAACAAATTTTCTATTAGGCAAATTTTTAAGTCTTTTCATTTTTAACATTTTTATTTTTTAAATTATTTATTTATTTATTTATATATACTCAGTCCAAATTACGACTATTTGAAATTTATAATATAAATATGAATATAAAATTAATAATAAAAATAAGAATGTAGAGTTAATAATAAAAATACGAAAATAACGTTAATAATAATATAAATATGAACATAAAGTTTATAATAAAAGTAGCAAATGTTACGCGCGCGGAACGTGATATTCAATTTATTATTATTATGCAAATTACAAAATTTTATATTTTAAAATATGAATTTTTGATTATCAACAAAATTTTTTAAAAACTTCAGAAATTAATTCAATCTTTCTCTAAAATTTTAATAAATTCTCCGAAATAATTCAATTATATTTCTAAATAGTAAAATTCTTTGTAAAAATTCAATTATTTTCTAAATTTTTCTTAAATCCTTCGAAATAATTAAATTATATTTATAAATATAGTAAAATTCTTTACAAAAATTCAATTATTTTTAATAATATATAAAAAATATTTCCTGAAAGAATTCAATTTTTTTTAATTTTTAATATTTTTCGAAAAAAATCAATTATTTTCTAAATTTCCATTAAATTCTTCGAAATAATTCAATTATTTTTACAAATATGGTAAAATTCTTAGCAAAAATTCAATGATTTTTAATAAAATCTAAATAACATTTCCTGAAAGAATTCAATTTTTTTTACTTTTTAATATTTTTCGAAAAAATTAATTATTTTCTAAATTTTTAATAAATCCTTCGAAATAATTCGATTATTTTCTAAATTTTTAATAAATTCTTCGAAAAAATTTAATTATATTTATAAATAGTAAAATTCTTTGCAAAAATTCAATTATTTTCAAAAAAATTTCACGATAGAATTCAATTTTATTTAATTCATTCTAATTAAAAATTTCAATAGAATTCAATTATTTTCTAAAGTATTAATAATTATTTCAAAACAATTCAATTACTTTTTAAGAATAGTAAAACTCTTTGCAGGAATTGAATTATATTCAAAACAATTTTTAAAAAAAATTCAATTTTTTTCTTTATTCGTTATAAAAAATTTCAAAGGAATTTAATTATTTTCTAAAAATTTTTTTTCAAATTCTTCAAAAAAATTCAATTATATTTATATAAATATAGTAAAATTCTTTGAAAAATTCAATTATTTTCAAAAAAATTCCTCGAAAGAATTCAAAGTTTTTCTTAATTCGTTATTAAATTTTCTAAAAAAAATTCAATTATTATTTTCTAAAGTTTAAATAAAATTCAATAAATAAAAGTTTAATTTCAATTATTAACAAACACGATTATTTTCAAAACTTGAATAAAATTGTTTATAAAAGTAAATTATTTTAAAAATTTCATAATTAAAATTATTAGAGAAACTCCATTATTATAGAAAAAAATGTCTAAGAAATTCTTCAAAAAGAATTTAATTACAATTTTCAAAAATTTTCTACGAGGATTTAATTATTTTCTACAATTTTTAACTAAAATTTTCTTCTAAATCAAATATTTTTAATAATTTCCTTGAGAAAGTTCCTCAAGAATTCAATTTTCCCAAATAAAAGAAGAAAGTTCGTTTAACAAAAATAATTCTGAAAACCAATTGTTTATCATTTAATTTGAAGAAATTTCGATTATTCGAAAAAAAACTAACTTTTTCGGAATTTTTAATTAAGTTTATTCAAAATTAAATTTTTCTAAAATTTCAATTTGAATCCTTTTGGAATTCAATTATTTCTAAAAATTGTAAAGGCAAAGAATTCAATTTTTTTGTTTAGAATCTCAAATTAAATTATTTCTGAGATTTTAAAGTAAAATTGTTCGTTAAATAATCTATAAGTCATAATTGTTTTTATTATAAAATTATAATTTTATAATATTTAAGAATTAAATTAGCACAAAATATAATTTTAAGAATATATTTCCTTTAAAATAAATCATTGCCAGAAAATGAAAAATAAAGATTTTGTATTAAAATTCGTATTAAATTTCATAAAAATTTTACTTAGTTTTAGATTTTCATAAATTTTTTTGAGAAAACTATTCACTGTCTTTCTGACGCAATTTTATGTGGATTTTAAAATATTTGATTGTTTTTTTATTTCTATATAAAAAAATACGATTTTTAACAAAATTATTTTTTAATACGATATTTAAAACTATTTCAAAGTATCAAAATATTCTCTATTTTTTCTTTTTTACAGAAACGTGTTTTTTCTGTACTGAAATTTTCATTTTAAAAAACAGCAAATTTTTTTTTTCAGAACCTTGAAAAATTATGAAATAAACCTTGAATTTCGTTTTCAAAATTTAGTGACCATCCTCGTTAACTATTTCGATTAAATTCATAGAATTGAATTTGCCTAATGAAAATTTTTATTTTTAAAGTTGCAAATATATATATATATATATATATATTTGATTGTTTATTCAATTAGGCGGAAATATGCAATTATTCATAGATTAATTATATACTTGTTGAGGCAAGTAATGTATAAGCGAACTAATATTCCTTGGCAATTTAACATGTTTGAAATAATATTAATATTAAGCAAGAAACTTGTACTCTCGATATTATTTGTACACAGTTTTGTTTGTCTTAATTTTCAGACATGATTTGTAAATTTAGAATAAATATAAACAAATAGGAAAAAAATAAATAATAAATAATAGGTAATGAAATAAACAAATAATAAAAAATTGGTAATAAAATAAATAAATAATAAAAAATAGGTTATAAAGTAAACAAATAATAAAAAATAGGTAATAAAGGAAGCAATTAATAAAAAATAGGTAATAAAGTAAACAAATAATTAAAAAATAGGTAATAAAGTAAACAAATAATTTAAAAATAGGTAAAAAAGTAAACAAATAGGAAAAAAATAAGTAAAAAAATAAATAATAGGCAATAAAATAAATAAATAATAAAAAAATAGGTAATAAAATAAACAAATAATAAAAAATAGGTAATAAAATAAAAAACCAATAAAATGAATGAGTAATTGTAATAAATTATTGTAAATTGTAAAATAAATAAATAAATAAATAAAATAAAATAACTCAATATAAAAAAAGATAATAAAAATAAACAAATAAATAAATAAGAAAATAAACAAATAATAATATATACTTGTGTTGAATGTATACATGTGTTGACCGCACTTGTCTCTTTTGAAAGCATTGCCAACTTGGGTGTGGACTCTTCTGTTTGTTCAGGAAAACGTGACGAAAGTTTTCCTCTCCATACTATTCTTTTTTTTTTTTTTTTTTATTCTCTCTCCCTCTCCCTCTCTCTCTCTCTTTCTCTTTGCAATTCGTGAAAAATTTTTCTCTCTCCGCAAAATATATTTCCTCGCTCATATATATTTATCAAACTCCATACAGTGCAAATGTCCGGCAAACTAAACAGCGTAAATATTGCTCGAAGCCATTCATTTATGCCAAACTAAACTGCAATTACTCTCTGCTGTTAATTTAATTTTCCCTTGAGACTTAACTTGCGTAAAAATGCGGAATTCCAGTAAAATGAGCTTCGAAATAGGAAAATAAAAAAGAATACCTAAAAAGAAAAAAACATTAAAAATAAGTTGATTAAACTTTTTTCTCAAATTGTTTTTTTTTCAATTTTTAATTTCAACTATAGCAACAATTCGCGCGAAAAATTAATTTAATTTTAAAAGAATTACTATAGCAATAATTCGCGCTCAAAATTAATTCAATTTTAAAAGATTTGCGTTTTCAATTTTCATAAATAATCCAAATTTCGTAAAATTTAATTTTAAACAAATTTATTTGAAAATTATTAAAAATACTTTTTCAAAAATTATTAAAAATAGTTGATTTAGAGAAGAATTTTAGTTACAAATTCTAGAAAATAATAATTGAATTGAAATGATGAAAATAATTTTTAAAAAGTTACAGTAACAATATTCTTAATATATAAAATAATGATAATACTTTTATAAGTTGTTTAATTTCAAAAAAGTTTGAATTTGACATTTTTTAAAATATTTATTCCTTTGGAAAAATAATAATTAAATATTTAAAATATGTGAAAAAGAAAATATTTTCGAATAATTTTACAATTAAAGATATTCGTAAATAAATGTAACAGAACATTTTTTGGAGTAAAATCTTTTTCTTTACTTTTAAAAAACTTTGAATTTTGTTTAAGCAATTGTAATTAAGAAATAGAAATACTGCAAATTATTTCCTTATTAAAATTGAGAATTTTCAAGAAAAATATTAAGAAACGTTAATATTCAGGATTGCCACAGGCCAGGAAAATCAGGGAATTCAGGGAAAAGTCAGGGATTTTATTAAATGATTGCAGAAATTCAATTATTTTCAAAAGTAATAAAATTCTTCTGAGAAATTCAATTATGTTCAAAAATTAAAAAAAATTCTCGTCAAAATTCAATTATCATTAAAAAATAATAAAATTCTTCTCGAAATTTCAAATTATTTTCAAAAAATTTAATAAAATTCTTTGCAAAATTTCAATTATTTTCAAAAAATTTTCCTCAATTATTTTCAAAAGTAATAAAACTCTTCTAAGAAATTCAATTATGTTCAAAAATTTAAAAAAATTCTCGTCAAAATTCAATTATCTTTAAAAAATAATAAAATTCTTCTCGAAATTTCAATTATTTTCAAAAGTAATAAAATTCTTCTGAGAAATTCAATTATGTTCAAAAATTAAAAAAAATTCTCGTCAAAAATCAATTATCTTTAAAAAATAATAAAATTCTTCTCGAAATTTCAATTATTTTAAAAAATTATAATAAAATTATTTGCAAAATTTCAATTATTTTCAAAAAATTTTCCTCAATTCAATGATTTTTAATATCTACTATTTTAATAAATTTTTGTAAAAGAATTCAATTATTTAAACAAAAATATTGATAAAATTCTAAGCAAACATTAAATTATTTTCATAAATAATAAAAATTTCACAGGAATTCAACTATTTACAAATTTTTTATAAATTTCTCCGCAATAATTCAATTATTTTCATAAATATAATAACATTTTCTACAAAAATTAAATTATTTTCATGAATAATAAAATTCATCATAGAATTTCAATTATTTTTAATACAATTTTAATTGAATCCCTCTAAAAATTTAATTATTTTTCAAAAATTTTATTTAAATTCCTCGAAAAAATTCAATTTTGTTGATAAAATTCTTTATGATAATTTAATTTCGAAAAACATTCATTTATTCAATAAATTATTTATTTTTATATTTAAATAATTGAATTCTCGTAGAATTTTCTAAAAAAAATTGATTTTCATTTCATAAAAATGAATTTCAGTTAAAATTTTAAATAATATTTGAATATTAAAAGCATTATAGCATGAATTTTTTAATATAATTGATAATTGAATTCTTTCGAAGAATTTTAATAAAATTTTTGAAAATAATTACATTTTTCGAAGAATTCACTTCAAATTTTATTAATTTAAGAAAGTAATTGAATTCTTGCAATGAATTTTTTCAATTCTTTTTTAAATAGTTGAAATAATGTAAAGACTTTTAATATTAATGAAAATAAAAAAATTCCTGCAACGAATTTTATTACATTTTTTAAAAATAATTGAATTCTTTTGAGAACTTTTATTAAAATAGTAGATTTTGAAAATATTTGAATTTCAAGGAAAAATTTCATTATATTCGTGAAATGTAATTAAATTCTTTAGAATTTTATTATTTATGAAAATAATTGAATTCTTGCAACGAATTTTATTGTAATTTTTGTAAATAATTAAATTTTTTTTTTGAAAAAATTTTATGGAAATTTAAATTTTTATAAAACATGAAGATAACAATTAGTCCGAGTCTTCGACTCGGAGTAATTGATATCTTCATGTTTTATAATAATATTCTTATAAGTTGTCGAATTTTAAAAATGTTTGAATTTGAATGTTTTGAAGAATTTTAATTAGTTTGTGACAAAAAGAATGAATGAAAGAATTCGTCGATTATTATAGTTAATAATAATTAATTATTATAAGTAATTTTTGTTTTTCAAAAGGCAGCAAAATATTTGAAAGTGAAATTAATTTTTTCCCCATTTTTCCTATTTTACAATTTATTTTAATTTATTTTTTTTTTATTTATTATAATTATTTCTTTTCTTTTCTTTTCTTTTCAAGTTCCTTTTTGTGAGGACTGCGAGAAAATAACTTTGCAAAGAATCTTTTTCATCAGGAGTAAAGATTATCAAAAGTTAATTCCAGCAGAAGAAGTTGGTGTGTAATGTGAAAAAGTGTGATGCATCTTTTATTTGAGTCCGCAATTTGTGAGAAGCTGTTTCTACTCATCAGCATCGTTGTAAGGAAAATGTTTATATGCTCCAGAGCAAACTCACCACGAATTTCGAGACTCATCTCCAAAGAGAAGTCTTTTTTTTTCTTCATTCTCGCTTGTATGTTTTGTCAACAACTTTCAAGACTCAAGAAATTATTTTTTCCATTTCTTATAGGTAAGATTTTCTTTTTTTTATTTATGGAAATTTTAATTAACAAAAAGAAAAAGTCTTTTTTTTTAATAAATTGTGACGTTATTTTCAAATTAGCGTACGGGGGAGAATTTTTTTTTTGAACTTATTAAAAAAATTTTATAATGAATAGTGTGATATTCAAATGACGTACTCAGTAATTTTGCAGCTCCATAATTCCACATTTTAAAGTCTGATACTCGTGTAGGTGCATTTGAGTTGTAACAGCTGCATACATTTTACGCCGAAAGGGCAACGTTGACATCCCTCTAGAAAAAGTGCATAGTCCTTTCAGCTTCTGAAATTAACGGAAAAAAAAGATATTTTGTCAGTTTATTTTTATTCTTACTGTCAAAGAGACAATATTTACGAACCAATTTTTAACAATATTATAATAATAACTATTATTATTATTATTATTATTATTATTATGCAAATTTAAAAAATTCTTTATTTGCAAATATTAATTTTAATTTTGGAATAATTTCAGATCCAAAATTTAAAAAAATTAAATTTTTCACTAATTTACTAAAATTAATTATTATTATTTATCGTTTTCAAAAACTTGATTAAATTCTTCGCACGAATTCAATATTTATTAGCAATAAAATTCCAATCAAATTTCTCAAAAAACTTCAATTATTTTTAAAATTTTGATTAAATTCTTAGCAAAAATTCAATTATTTTGAAAAATTTTGTTTAAATTCTTTAAATGAAAATTAGAATATTTCTAATACAATTTCAACTAAATTCATGGGAAAAATTCAATTATTCTTGAAAATTTTAATAAAATTATTAGCCACATTTCAATTATTTTCATAATTTATAAAATATTTCGCAGTAATTTATTTATTTTAAAGAATTTTAATAAAATTCTTCCCAAAATTTTTATTCTTTTAAAATTTTAATAAAATTCATTATTAGAAAAATATTTAGTTAAGAATTTTGGAAAAATATAATTCTTTTCCTAAATAATAAAATTCTTCGTAAAAATTCAATTCCTTTGAAAAACTTTGGTAAAATTCTGTACAAGAGTTTACTTATTTTTAATACAATTTTAATAAAATTCTTACCAAGATTTCAATTATTTTTATATTTAATAACATATTTCTCGAAATAATTCTATTATTTAAAAAATGCTAATTTTGACATTCTTGGCAGATATTTAATTATTATTAATAGTTTTGATAAAACTCTTTAAACGAATTTAAATAATTTAAATATTATTTTAATAAAATTTCTCGCAAGAATTAAGTTATTTTTGTAGATTTTAATTAATTTTTTCGCAAGAAATTTAATTATTTTGAAAAATTCTGATAAATTTCTTTATAAGAATTTTTCAGGTTCATATTTATAAAATTTGGTTTAATTAATTTCTGTTGTGTTTTAATGGTTTTTTAATCTTCAAACCATAAAATTAGAATTTCATTAATTTTCAAATTCAAAAGAGTAAAAAGAAAAGTTATCAAAAAAAAAAAAAATAGGAAAGAAAAAGGCAACAATTGTTCAATTGCTTATCTCTTTCTTACTTTTTGTATAAATTTGTTTATTTAAATGCGTCTAAAAAATATTATTTTTTTACATTTAGGGTTGTAAAGTTTCATGAAACTTTGGAAAATGAAATGTTTCATGAAAGTTTCAATGCTTCATGAAACATTTCAAAGTTTCAAGTTTTAAGCGGGAAATTTCAAATTCAATGCAAGAAAGTATAATAATTAACGCATATTATTATCGACAAAAACATGAAGTATTATTATTTACTTTAATATCTTTCTTTAATTTTTATAAATAAAATAAATAATTAAAAAATATATTAATAATTTAATTTTAAGTCACTCGTTAGAGGTAATATTTTAGGTAATTTTTAGTTAATATTAACATAACTACTCTCGTGTTTTCGGATGTAAACAAAAAATTTTCATTAAATTGTTTCGAGCTAACCTAAAATTTCTAGAGATTATCTAACCTGAACTGACAACTGCGCATGTGCAAATAAAGCTTAATTATTGGTTCTTCAATGTTTTATGAAATTAATGAAACTTTCGCTTATGAAACATTGAAACTTTCAAATGAAAGTTTCATTGTTTCAATGAAACGTTTCATCACTCACAACCCTATTTACATTACCGAAAGTGAGGTTAGAATCAGTGTTTTTTTATCTCGTCAAATTTTAACAAATTCGAAGTATTTTTTTGTTCTAAATTTGTTAAATTCAATTCACTATTAACTGTAGTTTCTCCTTTGTTACTGAAAATATTTATTAACTCGATAGTTATTCCACTTATTTATGAAAATTCTAATTAGATTTTAATAACAACTTGTCAAAATGTGACAGTTAGAACATTACTAAAAATAATTTATTTGCAGATTGGTAGTACTGTATTCAACAATTGACAATTATTGAAAAGCGTACATTGTTTACAAGTTGCAATTCTTTATTATTGATTGAATTTCTAATTAATTAGTAATTATTAATTAATAATTTAATTTATTTACATTTTTTTATTATTTATTTTTATTTATTTCTCTATTTGCTTTGAAGAATTTAACAAGTAATTTTTTTTTTTTTGTTAAAGTTGGTGAAACTGTAAATCGATCTATCGATGTATTTGAATTTTTTCTCTATACCCATCATGCAGTTCGCGAAAGAACAGAAACAAAAATGGCGTAATTTAACGGGTATTCTGGTGCTTGCGGAGCTTTTGTGTCTTTTTCAATTGTTTCTTTTATAGTATTTACATGTGTAATCAATAATCAATTAAGCAATCCAGTCAATCGTATGAAATTGTATCGAACAAGTGTTCGCACAGTGTAAATAATCGTCGTTTTTGATCAGCGAATTACAATGTAAGTCCCGGATGACGGAATTGCAATGTATAGTACTTGTCGTCCCGAACGTGGAAGCTTTTGTTGCAATTTTTTTTTTGAATAAGACAAACCCGTGAAAGGATTTAATTAAGAATGGAGTTCTCTATATAGAAAAAAAACAGATCCCGAGTTTCATTGGGGACTTCATTGAAAAAGCATCGTAGTCAATTAACAAGGGCATATAAAGGATCAAAAATAAAAAAAAAGTCGAACATCAAACAATCCAATCAGCCCGGAATGAGTAATTGAGTAATCAAACTTTTCGAAATCAAATTTTGTACTCAACTTGTATCACACATATTTCGTGTCACGAAATTGGTGCATAAAGCATTCGGATGCGCCTCTATTTCTCCCCCAAAATACGTGAGTAGTTTTCCAACATAACCTCAAAATTAAAGTTCATTTCATTAATTCTGTCCGCGAATGTTCCCCGGAAACTTGATAGCATGATAAGAAATAATAAATTCGGTAAAGTTAACCTATAATGTGAATAGTAATTCCATTTTTAAGATTAAATTCTGAATTTCGATAATTAATTATTAGAATATGGGAATCCTCAGAAACTAATAAATTATTGTGTTTTATTGTTTCTTGCGCGCGTGTATTTTTTTTTTTATTAAATATAGTACCTACAAAATAGTAGATTTTTTAAAAAAAATGTATTAATTAGAAAAGTTTTTAATTAAACGTTATATATAAACATAAATATATATACGTATATATTTATTTATGTGTACATGAAGAAAATGAAAACTAATGTTGTACGTGTGAGTTGTGAAAGCATTGAAAAGTTTTGTAACAGAGAAGCTTGCGAAATTCGTTTCCGCGGTATGTTATCGGTCGTTTTCCATTTCCAGGTGACATTTTCTCTCCTGGCATTGAATTGCCTGTTGAGGCTTCTTGTTATGTAGAAATGTAAAGCAGGAAACTTGCGTTTGCTGGATACTATTCTCAATCAATCGGTTTTCTAGTTGCAGTTGCTGATATCGAAATAATAGAGGGTGTGATCTACCAGTATTTGCAAAGAGTGACAAAGAGAGGAGAGAACTGTATTCTCATGACAGGTTGAGTCACATTGAAAACCGTTTGAGCTTCAAATTCAAAAACACTCACCTATATAAGGTAAATATATTATTCTTCACTTAATTGGAATATACTCTCATTTCTTTTAATTGTTAATCATTTATTTTCAATCATTTTTTTTTTTTTTTTAGGTAAAAAGCAAAAATCGAATAGAAATTTTAATTCCTGCCTAATTAGCAATAACTGGCTTCTCACTCACTTTTTTAAATAAAATTAGCAATTTTAAAAATTATAGAACGTAACAATTTTTAATTCAAATTTTTTTTTATAAAAATAAAATATGAATTGGAATATATAGTTTTAATATTATTATAATTATAATAATTATATATTCTGACATAGGGAATTCAGGGAAAAGTCAGGAATTTTTATTAAAAGCACTGAAAAAAATTAAATTTTTAGAATTCATAAGAAAATTCTGAATTTTTGTGTCTTTTTTGTTTGAATCATAAACTATAAAATTACCACGAATTCTAATACAAAACCTATTTTTCCAATTTCTGAAAAAAATTTATAATTTCTTTTTAAATAACTTAAATCTTGAACAACTATCATAAAATAAATAAATTATTTAATGAATAATTTTACTTAAATATTTCAAAATTAATTCAATTTTTAAAGAGTTGTGTTTACAATTTTCATAAATAAATGAACTTCAAACGGTTTCAATTTGAAATTTTAGAAAATTTCAATGTTGAATGAATTTAATTAGAAATTTTAATGAACTTAGATTCTTAAAAAATTTTAATAATTCAAAATCTTCTAAAATTAGTTAAATTTGTCAATATATATTAAATTAATTTAATTAATTATTAAAACTAATGGATTTATATAGAAGAATGTTAGTTAAAAACACTAAAAAAATTGAATTTTGAAGAAATTACAAATGATTGCAGAAATTCAATTATTTTCAAAGGTAATAACATTCTTATCACAAAATTCAATTATTTTCAAAATTTACAAAAAAAATCTCGACAAAATCCCAATTATAATCATTAAAAGTAAAGAAAAATCCTTCAAAATTCAATTATTTTCAAAAATTTTAATAAAATTCTTGACAATATTTCAATTATTTTCAAAATTTTTCCTCATTTCAATGATTTTTCATAACTACTGTTTTAATAAAATTACCTAAAAGAATTCAATTATTTCAAAATAATTTTAATAAAATTGTACGCAAGCATTTAATTATTTTCATAAATTTGGAAAATTTCACAGGAATTCAATTATTTACAAATTTTTTATAAATTTCTTCATAAGAATTCAATTATTTTCATAAATAACAAACTTCTTTGCAAGAATTCAATTATATTCAAAAATTTTAATAGCATTCTTGGCAAGAATTCAATTCAATTCAATTCAATTTCTTGCTGAAATTGAATTATTTCAAAAATTTAAATAAAATTCGTCGCGAAAATTCAATTATCTTCATAATTAATAAAATTCTTGCTAAAATTTAATTATTGTTAATAATTTTAGTAAAATTATTCGCAAGAATTCAATTATTTTTTTTTTTTTAAATAAAATTCTTTCCAGGAATTCTATTATTTACAAATTTTTCATAAATTTCTTTGCAAGAATTCAATTATTTTCATAGATAGCAAACTTCTTTACAGGAATTCAATTATTTTCCAAAATTTTAATAGCATTCTTGTCAAGAATTCAATTATCTTAATAAATAATAAAATTTCTTGCAGAAATTGAATTATTTCAAAAATTTTAATAAAATTCGTCGCAAGATTTCAATTATTTTCATAAAAAAACAAAATTCTTTTCAGGAATTCTATTAATTACAAATTTTTTGTAAATTTCTTCGCAATAATTCAATTATTTTAAAAAATAATAACATTCTTTATAGGAATTCAATTATCTTCATAAATAACAATATAACTCATCACTGAATTTCAATTATTTTTAATACAATTTGAATCAATTAAATTAATTATTTAATAAATAATTTACTTTTGTATTTAAATAATTGAATTCTCGTAGAATTTTCGAATAAAAATTGATTTCAAAATGAATTTTAGTTTAATTTTTGGATAATAAATTATTATCATATTTTCATATGAAAATAATTTTTAAGAAATTGCAGTAACAATATTCTTATAATATAAAATAATTATTTTAACACTTGATTTTCTTCAATTATTATTTATAAAGTTGATTAATTTCAAAAAGCTTTGAATTTGAATGTTTCGAAAAATTTTAATTCCTACGGAAAAATAATAATAATTAAATATTTAAAATATTTAAAAAAGAAATTATTATTGCGAATAATTTTACAATTAAAGATATTCGTAAATAAATTTAACAGAACATTTTTTTTCAATAAAATTTTTTCTCTTTATTTTCTAAAAATTCAAAAATTTTCATTTTCAATTAAATTTTCCAATTGACAAATAGAATTTATAAACATTTTTTTGTTTTATATTTAAAAAACTTTGAATTTTATTAAAACAATTGAAATTAAGAAATAGAATTGATGCAAATTATTTCCTTATGAAAATTGAGAATTTTCTAGAAAAATATTAAGAAACGGGAATATCTAATGTTTTTCTTTCCAAAAGAAAAAAAATGAGTTTGTAAACAATATTGTTATTGAGAAATAAAAATTATCCATAAAATGGGTACATTTCCTATTTCTTAATAACAATTTTTTAACAATTAACAATTTTCTAGTATTTTTTATAAATAAAAAGGAGAATAATTTGCATAATAATTTAGATCAGCCAAACGAAATTTTTTTTGAGAAAAAAGCATATAAAAAACAAAATGATTATATTTTTTATTTGTTAATCATAATTTTTTTTAAATTTTCTAATTTCCAATATTATTTTATTTTGAATCATAAAAAAATACCTGCATATTTTCGATTTGTCAATCAATATTTTTTAAAGAAAAAAGCAAAAGCATACACAGAAACTTCAAATTGCGGTCAGAATGAATGAAAGAATACGGAGATTAATATAGTTAATAATTAATAATTGAAATTTCTAAAATTGCATTCAAAAGTCGTCCTACTAATTGAATTATTTCCTTTATAATTTTTTCAAATTTATTAAAATCTACTGTGTGAGGATTTTTTTTATTCCAAGAGCTTTGAATTTCGTGTTTAAATTTATTATTTTTGAGTAAATAACTCTGAAGAGATTAAACTCTAACTCTGGAGTAAAACCTTGTAAGGATTAATGCTTATTGAATATTCTGTAAATTCTCTCTATCTCTCCATCTCTATGAAATAATTAATAAATTTACAAACAAAAATCTTTTTTGAATTTCAATATTTTTTAATTTTTTTTTTCGAAAGAGAGAAAAACGAAGGAATTTTTGATGGCAATCATCTGAAAATCAGCTTCAACTTCAAAGGCTTTTAAAGTCATTTAAATTTAAATGCTTCTGCTTGGAAAAGTGATATAAAAGCTATGCAAATCGAAACGATTTTCGATATAGGTTTTCAAAATTGAAAAGCATTTTCAATCTTTAATTAAAAATTGCTTTTTGTTTTCATTAATAGGAGTTATTGAATATTCTCCATCTATAGAGGACATAATTTTCTGCACTTTAAGTTTTTTTGTTTTCACTTATTTACAATATTAACTCGATTTTTTTTTGAATTTTCCTCATTTTTCCGTTCGTAGCTACTTAAAATTCAAACATAGAAAAATAATTACATTTTTTATTCTTTATCATAAGAATAAATAAATTTTATAAATTATTTAGAAATTTACAAATTAAATATAAATTTTTTTCTAGTTTTTTATTTCTCAAATTAAGAAAAATCTATAAGTTGAATTACAGTTGCAATTTTTAAAAGTAATCAATTATTTATTTTTGTATTTAAATAATTTAATTCTTGTCGAACTTTTTTAATAAGAAATGATTTGAAAAAGAGAATTTCACTTAAAATTTAAGAAAATATTTCAAGAATAATTAATAGAATTGCAGTTCTAATTTTTTGAAATAATTAAATTTCAAAAGGTTTTGCATTGAAAGTATTTTAAAATTTTAATTCCTGCTGAACAATGAATAAGTAATCAAATATTTATTAAAAAGAAATTAATAAAATTTGAAAAATTTTATTTCGAAATTCTGAAATAATGAGGTTTTTAAAAAATCGTAATTAAAATTTTTTGAAAATAGTTAAATTATCGAAAATAATTTTTAAAGGAAAAAGGAAATTTTCTCAAATTTTATTACAATAAATTTTATATTTCAAAGAATTTTATTTTCTTCTTTTTGAAAATTATTTTTAAATATTATTGTATTTTTTGAAGAATTGTAACTAAAAATATGGAAAATAATTACTTAAATTTTACAAAAATTGTTCTATTGCAATAATTTCAACTATAAAAAAAAAAAATTCGGTTAAAATTTTGAAAAATAATTGAATAAATAAAATAAATAAAAATAACAACAATAAATAAATGAAAAACAATTGAATTTAAATACCTAATTAAAAAAATAATTGACTTTTGTAAAAATTACCGTTGTAAATTTTAGAAATAATTGAATTTCAAAAGTTTTACATTGAAGTTGTTTGAAATGTCAATTAAAATGAATAATAACAAGTTTTTAAATAATTGTTTAAGAATTATTCAAATTTTGAATAATTTAATTTAAAAATTCTAAATAAATCTAGATTGTTGAAAAATTGTAATTAGAATTCAATTTTTGAAAAATTATAATTAAAATTAGATTTTTGAAAAGTTATAATTAAAAATAGATTTTTGAAAAATTGTAATTAAAATTTTTGGCTGATAATTGAATTTTGGAAAATTATTTTAAAAATTAAAACGATTTAAAGTTTTGTCAAATTTCATTAAAGTAAATTTTACATTTGAAAGAATTTAATTTTATTACAATTTTAAAAATTGTTTTGAAATATAATTGTATTTTCAAAAAATTATATTTCGAAAGATTATCATAATAATGATTACTAGTGGATTATTATTTTATAATTGATATTAAATATTATTTAAAATATTTATATTATTATTATTTTTTATTATTAATATTATTGATGTTATTTATTTTATATTGTTAATATTATATTTTATTGTTAATATTATTTATTTATTTGGTAGAAAAATTCCCGTAAATTATTTAAAAAGATTTTAAAAAATTGAGTTCAAATAAAATTGAAAAAGGGAAACAACTTTTTAAAGTAGTGAAAATAGTAAAAGTAATATATCTGTTGCTTGCAAATAAAAAATTTGTATCTTAAAGCTATGATAAAAAGTATAAAGGAAATTCAATAAATTCAACACGACAATATTCATGATGTCATGTCCAAAGGAACGATTCAGCAAAAATTTTCTCTATTTTTCCGTTTATAGTAGCTTCCCAATATGTTCTCAAATTTAAATTTCGTAACAAAAAAAAAAAAAAAAAAAAAAAAAACCGCACGTGTTTGGCTGGTATTCACAAAATTCTCGGCTCTTGTAGAATTTAAATTGCGCATGTATAAAGTTGCAGCTGCTACTCTTCTCTCTCTCTCTGTGTATATATACATATCACTAAACCCTTTAAAACGACAAAACTTCTCTTCTTCTCCCCCAAAATATCAACAAAACGCGAAAATGTAGAAACTATTTAATTGCACTTTCTCCCCACCCACTATAAACTCTCTCTCATTCCGTTTATAATGCAGTTTTCAAAACTTTTCTCCAAATGCAAATTGCTAGAAACCTAAAAAAAATGAAAAAAAAAAAATGCAGTGAATTTTACTTTTGGAAAATTGTCGACAAAATTATATCTACGACCAGAGAAACTCGTCGACTAAGAAAATAAATTAAATTCTCGAAACAAATGGTCGCTGGTCTCGGCAGATAAATATTTAAATTCATAATTGGGTATTGTTATTTTCGAAAATAATTATTACTTAAGGGGAGAATAATTACTATTCAAAATAATAATTATAAAATAATAGAATAAAAGAAAATTATAAAAAAATAATAAAATAATAATAAAGGAAAATAATAAAAAAATAATAAAATAATAATAAAATAAAATAATAAAAAAAATAATAAAAAGAAATTAAATAGTAAAATAATAGAAATAATAATTTAAATAATAAAGATCTTAAACTTTCTTCTTTGGCCTAATGGCCAAACAAAAAAGTTTAAGATCTTTATTATTTAAATTATATGTCTTTCTAGAAAAATTTATTTTAACATAATAATAATTATTTATTTTTCAATTTCAGGCCTCGGATCAACTTTAAGGTGGAAAAAAGTCGCTTTAGTCGAGTTAAAAAAGAAAAAAAGTCGAAACAGTCGTTTATTTAATTCAGTGTTGTCACAAAATTTTTTTTTTTTTTGTATTTTACTGATCTTTCACTGATTTCTAAATTCAATTATTCAAAACTTGAAAAATTTTGTTAGATAGATATTTCAAATTAATTACTTCTTGTTTGTTTTTATACAGGAATAAAATTTTTTAAATTTATATTTAAAACCTTGTGAAATTTAATAACTTCTAAAAATTACGATTCTAATTCTCTTAAAACTCAATTATTTTATATACAATTTTTTAATCAAACTTCTTCTCGAAATCAATTATTTTTAATAATTTTCCCGAAATTTCTTAGAGAATTCAATTATTTAAATACAAAAATTCAGTTCTAACTGTCCATGTTTTTTAAGTCATTAATTAATTTTCAAAAAATTTTAATAAGGAAATTCTTAAAATTAATTTTTTAAAAATATTTTTAAAATAATTTATGAAAAATAAGTTTTTCAATTATATCTATATGCAATTGAAAAATTTCCAAAGAATTTAAATATTTGGTAAATTCTATTAAAAAAATAATTGAACTTTTAAAAATTTTGAACATGATTATGTTGTTAAAATATTAAAAATAATTGTACAAAATTTTTATATTATTATTTTTTTATGTATTTGCATTTTTGGAAATTTGTATTTGAAAATATTGAAAATAATTTAATTTTAAAAAAATTAGAATTAAAAAATTCTAAGAATTATTTTTTTTTCACAAATATTTTAATATATAATTTTTAGAAGCTAATTTTCATTAATTACCATTTTAAAAATTACAATTGAAGATTTGTCATTAAATTTTTTTGAGAATTCAATTATTTTCATAAAATTTAGAATTAAATTTCTTCAAAAGTTGGTTTTCAAAAATTGTAATTATACTTGAAAAAAAACAATTATTATTAATTAAATTTTACAAAATTTCAATTATTGAAACACTTTTTAATTGCAAATTTCGAAGATTTAATTAGAAAAATTATTCAAAAATAATTTTTGAAGATTTGTCTATAGTTATTTTTCATATGAAAATCGAAATAAGTTGCATTTTATCCTAAAAATTATTGCAATGTTTAGAAGAAAAGTCGAAAAAGTCGTAATTTTTGAAAATTTTTTAATTCTATTTTTAGAATCTAATTTTCATTTTAAAATTTACACTTGAAGATTGTTCATCATATTTTTAATCTATTCAATTATTTTCAAAATTTGCAATTAAAATTCTTCAAAAGATGATTTTAAAAAAAAAATCAATTATTTTCTATTTAATTTTACAAAATTTGAATTATTAAAAATCTTTTTAATTCAATATTTCGAAAATTTAATTAGAAAAATTATTCAAAAATATTTTTTCAAAGACTGTGAAAATAATTGGAATTTTAAAAAATTAGAATAAAAGAATTCTAAAAATTACTTTTTTCAAAAATATTTTAATATAATTTTTAAAATCTAATTTCCATTCATTTTAATTTTAAAATTTACACTTGAAGATTTTCCATTAAAAATATTTTTGAGAATTCAATTTAATTAAGTTGCTATTTTTAGAAACAATTGATTATTTATTTTTGTATTTAAATAATTTAATTCTCGTCGAACTTTTGTATAAGAATTGATTTGAAAGAGAATTTTAGTTAAAATTTATGAAAATATTTGAAGAATAATTAATAGAATTGCAGTTCTAATTTTTTGAAATAATTAAATTTCAAAAAGTTTTACATTATGAAAGTATTTTCAAATTTTAATTCCTGCTGAACAAATGAATATAAGTAATGAAATATTTATTAAACATAAATTAATGAAAGTTGAAAAAGTTTATTTAGAAATTCCGAAAAATGTGTTATTTTAAAAAATCGTAATTAAAATTTTTTGAAAGTATTTGAATTCTTGAAAATAATATTAAAAGATTGAAACAATTGAAAATTTTGTCCAAATTCAAAAAAAAAATTTCATATCTTGAATAATTTAATTTTTTCAAGGTTTCTTCCAAAAATAATTTAATTACAAACAAAATTTTTTTTATTTTTTCAAAAATTATTTTTATTATAATTGTTTTTTTTAAGAACTGTTTCTAAAAATTTAAATAATAATAATAATAATAAGTTTCTTAAATAAACAAATAAATAAATAAATAATAATGACAATGACAATAATAATTAATAAAAAATAGTAATTATAATGAAAATAATAATAGTAAACATAACAATAAAAATTATAATGAAATAAATCGGAATAAAAATTCATAGTAAGCAAATAATAATAAAATATTTTTAATTGTGATAATTATTTAAATAAATAGATTAAACAGTTGTTAACTAATTAATAATAATAAATATTTACCTAGAACTTAAATAGTTAATTAAATTAAAATTAAAAAGTAGAATAGAAATTAAATAATCAACGATTTAGTAATAAAATAAAAATGTGAATTTGCACGGAAATATAGAAAAAAAATGAATGGAATTTTTTTTTTTTTGTAGTAAAAGTTCTAAAAATAGAAAAAAAGTAATAATGGAATATTTTGGTTTTTTCTCTTTTCCAGGCGGAGGAATAAAATTTCAATAAAATCTGGATACCTGAAAAATGTTGACAATGTGATATGGTAGTCCTAATCCTGACAAACTTATTTGGAACGTATACTCTCTGACCGAGCTGGGGAATTACTACTGAAAGCACTGACGTCTGACAAGGCTAGTCTCTTCACTACTGCCCGACTCAACGCGATGTGTTCTACTGCGAGGCGTGAGCAATATAGAGTTGTTCTCCTTCCGGTCTCGACATTATTACATATTTCAAAAAAAGTACTCTATTTTTTTTTCTTTTTTTTTCTACTTTTTTTCTCAATCCTTTACACACAATTTTCTCATATATGGAGAAATATTTCTTTTAATATCCAATATGTTTCTGGCCTTTGACAATTTTATTAGTTTCAATTTCTTTTTTTTTTCTTTTTTTATTTGAATTTTATGTTTTCTTTTCAGTTATATACTAATTTGCGATTGGTTTTTTATTTTCTTTTTTTTTTGGTAATATTTTGCATAGTTTGGTTTGTATTTGTTTTGAATATTTTTTTAATGCGTTTCGATTTTGAACGTTTGTATTTTATGTATCTATTATTTTTTAATATTTTTTATTTTTTTTTTTTAATAGATTTTTTTATATTTTTTCTCTAGTTTTTTTATTATTTTCTCATAGTTCTAAAATTTTTTTTATAGTTTTGTTTATTTTTTGTTTTTTGCTTTTTGTTAAAACCGTTTTTAGTTCATTTTTGTAGTGAGTCGGTTTTTAGGTTTTTCATTACAAAAATTAATAGTTCTTTTATATTTTTCCATAGTTTTCGAAATATTTTTTCAGTTTTTTTATATGTGCTTCATTGTTAAAACCGTTTTTCAGTTAATTTTTGTAGAAACGCCTTTTTTAGGCTTTTTGTTACAAAAATTAATATTTTTTTTTATATTTTTCCATAGTTTTAAAATATTTTTTTTATAATTTTTGTAATATTTTTTCAGCCTTTACATTTGCTTTTTGTTGAAACCACTTTTTTTTTATTTTTGGTAGAAATGCATTTTAGGCCTTTTATTACAAAAATTAATAGTTTTTTAATATTTTTCCATACTTCTTAAATATTTTTTGATACTTTTTTTTTATTTTTCCATAGTTTTAAAATATTTTTTCATTGTTATTTTATATTTGCTTTTTGTTGAAATCGTTTTTAATTAATTCTTGTATTAACGCATTTTTTAGGCCTTTTATTTCAAAAATTAATATTTTTTTTGTATATATTTTTTTATTATTAAAACCGTTTTTTAGTTAAATTTCGTAAAAACGCCTTTTTTAGGCCATTTGTTACAAAAATTACTAGTTTTTTTAAAATATTTTTCCATATTTTTTTGTTAAAACAAGTTTTTTACTAATTCTTGTAATAACGCATTTTTTTAGCCCTTTTGACTAAAATTTATATATTTTTTTTATAGTTTTCCACAGTTTTAGAATATTTTTTCATAGTTTTTGTAATATTGTTTCACTTTTTTTTATATTTGCTTTTTGTTAAAACCGTTTTTATTTAATTTTTGTAGAAACGCCTTTTTTAAGCCTTTTATTACAAAAATTAATTTTTTATCTTTTTTATTTTTTTTTTTTATTTTTTTTTTTTTTTTTATCTTTCCATCTTTTTCTTTTTGCTTTTTGTTTAAACCTGTTTTTAATTAATTCTTGTATTAACGCATTTTTTAGGCCTTTTATTTCAAAAATTAAGTTTTTTAATATTTTTCCATAGTTTTTAAGATGTTTGCTTTTTGTTAAAACCGTTTTTTAGTTATTTTTGTAGAAATGCCTTTTTTAAGCTTTTTATTAGAAAAATTAAGTTTTGTAATATTTTTCCATATTTTTTTTTATTTTTCCATAGTTTTGGGAATATTATTCTATAGTTTTTAAATATTTTTTTCATACTTTTCTTATTTTTTTCCATTTTTTAAAATGCTTTTTCATGCATTTTTTTATTGTCCCATTTTTTAAAATATTTTATCATACTCTTTTATTTTCCCATTTTTTAAAATGTTTTTTCATACTTTTTTATTTTCCCATTTTTTAAAATGTATTTTCATACTTTTTTTCTATTTTCCCAATTTTTTAAAATGCTTTTCCTTACTTTTATTATATTTTCCTTTTGTTGAAACCGCTATTTAATTAATTCTTGTAATTGTAATAATGCCTTTTTTAGCTCTTTTATTACAAAAATTAATAGTTTTTAAAATATTCTTTTTTATATTCGTATTTTATTTATATTTTATATTCCTGTGTATATTTATTTTGCATATTTTTTTCAGGATGTGATACGAATATGCGGGAAAAACTTGAGTCATGGAACTTTTTTTAAATTGAGTGGAAAATCTGGAAATGACATGGAATTATATGTAAAATATCGATTTCGGACTCACATGCTTCCGTAATTCAAGGTTTAGTGACAGTTTAAAATTTGTATTTTTCTGTTTATTTTATGTTTTTTTTTTTTATTAAATCGCAGTTCATTACAAAAAGTGAGCTTCAAATATTTTCATAAATTTAAAATTTAACAAACAAATATCTATTGTTGATCAATTATAATTAGAAACAAAATATGCAGAATTTTTTCTGAAACTATTTTCTAAACTTTTTTCTTTTTTGACAATTTGTTTTTATTTTACTGCTTTTTTTAGTTCAATTTTATTTTAATTTGTCCGATTGTATATATTTTTTTTTACTTTTTTATTTTTAGATTAAACATTTTTATTTAATTATTAACTTAATAATTTATTTTATTTATTATTAACTTAATAATTACTTTTATTTGTTCACTAAGTTAATAATTACTTAAATTTAATTAATAACTTATTAAGTTTTTATTTCTTAATTTCTCTTTATAAATTATAATTCTTATAATTTATATTTTTGTTTTTCCTGAATTTACTTTTAATTCAGAATATTTAAATCATAATTCCTTTTCATTCAACGTCAAAAATAGAAGCAGATTAGTGTTTTTTATTTTTTTTGTTTGAAATTAAATTTTATGTATCTATAGATTTTTGAAATATATTTTTTTAAACGTAAATCATAGTTTTTCTTTTTTTTTTGTTATTTTTTGCATAGAATGGAGAGTAAATAGAGAAAGTTATAGAATTACCTTATCATAAATATTGTATCAATTTCCGAAATGTTGCACATGAAAAAATTTGTTGCGAATATTTTGAAATGAAACTGTCGGTTATTATTCGTTTATTAACTTCAATTAATTGTTCGCGGCAGCATTCAATAGCGGACTTCAATTAAATTCGTTATAGAATTTCATAACATCAATAACCTTATGAAACATGAATTTGCTTTTGCCAAGTTTCACGACCCATTTTATGTACATATATTTTTTTTATCCTCGTTTTTTTCTTCAATTCTCACGTTTATAGTAAAACAATAATAATGAAAAATTTCCCGCATTTAATTTAAATCTTTTTTTTTGTGAATTTATTCGAGAACAAAAAAATTATAAAGAGGAAATTTATTAATAAATAGGTTTATTTATTAATAAATAAAGTACATAGTTCGATTTAAATTAGAGAAACCGATTCAAATTATTAATTCACTTTTTTCTATCGAGATTTTAGAATTAAAAACTCTAGTATCGAAAAATTGGAAAATTGTAAGCTTTTTCAGTGAAGTTTATTATATTTTTTTTGTATTTTTATTTTTGTTACAATTGGTCTTCCAATTAACCAAATTTTCTCCCTTGATTCACTGGTCCATTAAATTTCATAAAATAATTTCTCCAGTACTGGCATAAAATAATTAAACATTGATTTATTGCTTTTACATTTTCATTCTCGTGGGAATTTTTTTTTTTTTTGTCAGAGAGAATAATGCTGCTTTTTGATAGATATACAAATTCAGAACATATTTTTTAATTAATGTTGAAAATGGGAAAATTTTGAATACAACAACGAACAATATTGAAGATGAATTAATAAAGTAGGTAAATAAACAAAAGGTGATTAAGTAAAATGAATAAATTTTTAAATGGGAAGTAAATAAAAGAAGGAATTAAATCAAATAAATAATTTGAAAGAATTTGTAATAAAATTCTTTATAGTTCAATTTATAAATAATAAAAATCTTCGTAAAAAATGTAATTAATTTTATATAAATAATAAAATTCTTATCAGGATTTCACTTATTTTCAAAATACAATTTTAATATTGATTTCTTCGAAAATTTCAATTATTTTTAAAAAACTTGGAAACATTCTCCGATAAAATTCAATCATTTTAAAAAATAATTGAATTTTTCACATGAGTTCAATTATTTAAAAAACTTTTAATAAAATACAATTTATGAATTCAATTATTTTTAAAAATAATGAAATTTTCGCTGGAATTCAATTATTTTAAATACAATTTTCATAAAATTCTTCTCAAAAATTCACTTATTTCTTTAAATTTTGCAAAAATTCAATTATTTGTAGAAATAATAAATTTTTTCGCAAGAATTCAATTATTTAAAAAAGTTTTAATAAAATTCTATTAAAAAATTCAATTATTTTTAGAAATAATTTAATTGTCGATTTACTGAAAATCATTGAATTCTTATAAAGTATTTACCAAAAATTTGATAATAATTGAATTCATTTCAAGAAGTTTATCAACATTTTTTTCAATAATTAAATTCTTGGCAAGATTTTTATTAAAATTTTTTTAAATAATTGAATTGTTTTGAAGAATTTATTTCAATTTTCTTGAAAATAATAAATATTTTTTTTAATAATAAATTATAATTAATATTTTTTTTAATAATATTTACTGAAAATTTTGAAAGTAATTGAACCTGTTAGAGAAACTTTATTAAAATTATCTTGAATATAATTGAATTTTTTCCTATAGAAATTTTATTAAAATTGTATCTGAAAATAATTTAATCCAAATAATTGGATTTTTATACTGACGCTCTTGAAAATAATTGAATTTAAATAATATTTGAAAAAATAATTGTATTCTTTCGTGAAATTTTATTAAAACTGTATTAAAAATAATTGAATTTCTTTGAAGAATTTGATTGTTAATATTAATCTTTTAATTCTTGCGGATGATTTTACAATTCATAAAATAATTGAATTGCTTCAAAGAATTTTATCTGAATTTTTGAAAATAATTGAATTTTGTGAAAAGGAAAGTATTCATCTTTCGAGATATTTTATTAAAATTGTATTGAAAATAATTAAATTGCTCAAAAAAAATATTATTATTTACAGAAATAATTGAATTCTTGACAAGAATTTTATCATTTACAAAAATAATTGAATTCTTGACAAGAATTTTAAAATTTATAAAAATAATTGGATTGTTTCGGAAAATTTTATCAGAATTGTTAAAAATAATTAAGTTTTTACTAAAAACTTTTGAAAATAATTGAATAATAATTTTTTCATAGAAATTCTATCAAAAATAATTGAATTTCTCAAAAGAATTTTAATATTTACAAAAATAATTGAATTGTTTCGAAAAATTTTATCAGAATTGTTGAAAATAATTGAATTTTTATTAAAACTCTTGAAAATAATTGAATTTGAATAATATTCTTATAAATAATTGTATTCTTTCGGGAAATTTTATTAAAATTGTATTGAAAATAATTTGATTCCTCAGAAAATTTTTATTTGTAAAAATAATTGAATTCCTTTGAAGAATTTTATTATTTATTAAAATATTTTAATCTTGCAAAGAATTTTGTTATTTAGGAATATAATTGAATTTCTTTGAAGAATTTTATTGTTTATGTTAATATTTTTATTCTTGCGAAGAATTTTCTTATTTATAGAAATAATTGAATTCTTGCTGAGGTTTTTAGAATTCATAAAAATAATTTCATTGCTTCGTAGAATTTTATCTGAATTTTTGAAAATAATTGAACTTTTTGAAGGAGAAAGTATTCTTCTTTCGAGAAATTTTATTAAAATTGCATTGAAAATAATTTAATTGCTCTAAAAAATATTATTATTTATGAGAATAATGAATTTCTTGCGACAAATTTTATTAAAATTTTTAAATAATAATAATCAAGAATATTTTATATTATTTACTTATTAAGTGAATTCTTTAAATTTTGAATTTGTAATCATTCAAAAATTGATGTTTATTCTTGAAAATATAAAATTTTTTAATTTAGGTACAAAATAATAATAAATAGAATACCGAGTTCCGCGTATCATTTGCTAGTTAAATCAATAAATTTAAAAAAAGAATTAAATTAAACTGATTAAGTTAAACAAATTTTGAAAAAAGGTGATTAAACTAAATAAATAAATTGAATAAAAGGCGATTAAGTAAAATAAATAAATAGAAAAAATGATTAAATTGAATAAATAAAATCTAGAGATGAAAAAAAGGGGAATAAATTAAACAAGATAAATAATTGAAAAAAGTGATTAAATTAAATAAAATGAATGTAGTAAAATAGGAGGGGAAAGGGAGTTGGCAAACTATTTGCTTGAGTTAGAGGAAAATCTGTTTCTTTTTTTTTATCGTATAAATAAACTGTGAGACTGAGAGTGTAAAATGACCAGCTACCTGATTACTCAACTACCTATTTACAAGGCCTTGCACTTTATGTGCATCACTTTTACAGTAAAAATAATTTTCCGATACATAGCTTTTGTTGTGAAAATAACATGCGAGCTTTGCATGTTATACTGTCCTATATAAGTTCTCCTACTTGCACCTACGCGATTGCGAATAAACATTCACAAACGAAATATTCCGTGTGTATACACACATATATATATATATATATATGTATATAATCGACACATTAAATACTCGTCAATATAATGGTTGTCATTATATTGTTAACGTTGTCGTACAAGCCCTTTTCATTTCAAAAGATTTGTTTCAATCAGTTCATACTTATTAAAACAATGACAAAAAGTTATTTGCCCTTTTGCTTCTGTTCTCAATTTAAAAATAGATTCCATTTCACATTCAACATTTTGCAAATATGATAAATGTTTATGGAAATAAAAATTTATTTTTATGTTTGAAAATATTAATTTCTTATTGCGAAAAATGTTTGTCAGTTTGAATATTTTCTTCATAATGAAATTTTTCATTTCTATTATTTATTTGCAATAAATATTTATCATTTCCATTTTTTCTCTCGATGAAATATTTATCATTTCAATTATTTCTTTCCAAAAATTATTTACGAGTTTAATTTTTTCTCTCGACGAAATACTTATTTTCATTATTTCGTTTGCAAGCGAAATTTTTCATTTTCATTATTTTATTGCAAACGAAATTTTTCATTTCAATTATTTCTTTGTAAAAAATATTTACCATTTTAATTTTTTCTTTCGACGAAATATTTATCATTTGAATTATTTTTTTGGTAAAAATATTTATCATTTTAATTATTTCTTTGCAAAAAATATTTATTATTT